CTGAGGTGACTCTCTGAGCCACTTTAGGAGGAAATTTCTGCCTTTTGGGCAAGTTTTCCTAAGCTACCACTTTAGGGGTACATGGAGATTCTGAGATTCAACCGAGCCTGCAGAAGGCAACCCTAGCCTGATGCTTTGTCCCTCGTGATCACCTGTCCCCAGACACCTGCCTCACTGAGCCTCTCCCCCACCCCAGCTCCAGGGAGGCAGCGCCAGCCTTGTCCTTGAGCACGTCCTGGGCACCAGACAGAGACGCAAGGAGCAGGGTGGCGCTCGCTGCTGTCGTGGGCTAAACAGCGCCTGAGGGCGGGTCAGGAAGACCTCACTGAGGGATAGAGTAATAAAATAAAATTCAAAACTCCAAAGGGCTGGGAAAGGCGGCCAAGAGGAAAGGTTGTGCCCATGGATTGTCCTGGGGTCAGGAGCGGCTCAGCCACTGAGGACCACCAGGCTCGCTGGCCTGGCTGGGGCCCTGTGAGAGGAGGTGGGACACGTGGCCCAGGGCCAGATCCTGCTTCTGAATAAGCCCTGTTGACAAAGGTATAAGCCGAAGATCGCACTGTAAGGCTGGTAGCTCAGAAAATACCTCTTGGGCTGCAAAATGGAAGCTGGGCAGAGGCCACTGCAGGAATCCAGGCAGGAAACAGCAGCAGCTATGAGACAGACAGGGGCAGCAGGGGCGGGGAGCCACGTATGGAGGAGCGTGGTTTTGAGGAGAAAAGACCAGCCGAGAGATCAATTGAATGTGGAGAATCAGGAAAAAGGTATCCAGAAGGTGGCTCCCAGTGTCCAGATTAAGTAACCAGATAACCAGTGATGTGTTACCCATGTGGGGGGACACTGGAGAACGAGCTGGGTGTTACACCTGGTGTCATTTACTGGTTGTTAAGTATTGATTGGCTACTAAATGAATGCATGACTGTCTCTGTGGATATGTGCCTGTTTGATTGGAGGTGCCAGTGACCTAGCTGAGTAGAGGTGGTGAGCAGGCTGTGGCTTGCCTGTGTGTAGTGTTTGGAATCACAGGAGCAGGGTGGAGAGTAGGATGTGAGAAGGGCAGGGGCGCTGGGCCAGCCCTAAGGAACAGCAGCACTCCATGGGGCCAGGAGGAGGTGGAGAGCTGGAGGAGGAGTGCGGGAAGGGTGGAAAGGAGAAGAGAAGCTTTGGAGAAAGCGTCTGGCCAACCCAGCTGAACTGTGCGGCAAAGTCACAGATGTGCGCTGGAGTCCACAATCTGGAGGGCACTGCCTGCAAGAGAAGCTTTGTTGGGATTTTGGGAGCAAAAGCCAAGCTAGGGTGAAGTTGAATGGCAGGTCAAATAGAGATAGTGAGTGTGACAGTGGCCATAGCATTGGGTGACCTGTGGCAGTGACATCCCAAGGGGATCCAGGGAAGCTTTGGTTCAGGTGCAGGCAAAGGAACAAGTTCATGGCCTGGAGACAATTAAAAGCAAAATACAAAGAGGACCAAAAGTCAGCCTGCTTCTTATTATGACCATGCACTTGGCGATCCTAAACAGAACCTGCAGATTTTGTGTGAAGACCAAAGTCTCCCCTAAAAAATCTTCAGTGGGTTAAAATTCCATTGAGTTTTAATAATATCTATGTAAGCTTCAAATTAGCACTTTTGTAATACATACCCTTTAATAAGCCTGTGTTCTGCATGGAGATGAATTCTGAGAACTCCCCAGCATGCAGTGGGCGCCCAGACACATGGACTCAACTACGCACCTTCGATTTGAGGGGAGTCCAGTGTTTGGGGAGTGTTCAAGTTTGCTCAGTGCCCGGCTTCAGTCTCCAACCTCTCCCTACTACCTGCTCCTGCACAGAAGCAGATTTCAAATAAACAGTAGTAGATAGAGATTGTAAAAACTAAGCAAGAAATTATGAATGAAAATACTTCTCCTGTCCTTCTGTGTAACCAGTTTGTGTTTCATAATTTAAACAGTGAAACAGGGGCTGGGGTTGTGGCTCAGTGGCAGAGAGCTTGCCTAGCATGCATGAGGTACTGGGTTCGATCCTCAGCACCACATAGAATAAAATAAAATATTGTGTCCACCTAAAAACTAAAAAATAAGTATTAAAAAAATTTAAAAATAAAAAACAAATAAACAGTGAAACAGAGTACAGACTATGATGGGTGATCTTTTTGTTTTGGTAAGTCCAAATTTGAGTTCACACATGAAATATAAAGAAAACAGTTCCGTTAGTGGTGTGATTTAGTAATGGCTAAAATTATCATTGTACCTTTTATACATATGTTGATTTTATTAAATCTGCTTATTAGTTACTGGGAATTATTTAAATATTTGTTTCATGGGGCTATAACCAAAAAGTCAGAATTCAAACCACTAAGTAAATATGAAATATATAGCTGGGCGCCATGGTGCAGGCCTGTAATCCCAGCAGCTTAGGAGGCTGAGGCAGGAGGATCACAAGTTCAGTGCCAGCCTCAGCCAAAGCAAGGTGCTAAGCAACTCAGTAAGACCCTGTCTCTAAATAAAATACAAAATAGGGCTAGGGATGTGACTTAGTGGTTGAGTGCCCCTAAATTCAATCCCTGGTACAAAAAACAACAAAAAAAAGTACAAAAATATTTTAAAAGATTAAGTAGCTATGACCCTTTTTGTATTATAATACTTATTTAATTTTTACTGACATAATAATGTATTTTTATATTCAATCAAAAGGTTTTCACTGGGCTGTAATTTCAGCTACTTGGGGACTGAGGCAAGAAGAATGCAAGTTTGAGACCAGCCTGGGCAACTTAGTGAGACTCTGTCTCAAAAATTAAAAAGGGCTGAGGATGTAGGTTGGTGGGAAGGCTCTGGGTTCAGTCGCCTACACTCAAAAAAAAAATCACTATTTGCCTTTCTTTTCTTGTTACTATTATTTGTTTCATTCATGATTATTACCAAAAAATATTTTTGAAATATTGAGGAGGAGAGAAAAGGAAAAAAGAGAGAGAGAGAGAGAGAGAGAGAGAGAGAGAGAGAGAGAGATCCTCCCTGGGTTTCAAGCACACTAGGTACATGACTGGCCCCAGGTGAGAATCCTTGGGGACGCTGAGTGGCTGTCATCCTGGGAGATGAGATGGGAATTGTGCCTGACAACCAGGTCATAAAGGAGCTGAGAGAGGAGACAGATCTCAGAAGGAGGGAAACGTCCTGGTGCAGCCTGAACTGGGGAAGGGAAGACAGATGAGAGGCCAGACCTGCAATGAGCCAACCCTGAACTTGAATTTGTATAGCAGATCAAAGATCCCATACCCCAATGTTTGGGACCTGAAGCGTTTGGACTTCAGATTTCAAATCTTTCAAATTCAGAAATACAGCAAACCTATAAAGAGATATCTTGGAATGGGACCCGAGCCTAAACACAAAATTCATTTGTTTCACCTATACCCAAACACATAGCTCAAAGGGAATTTTATGCAGTAGTTTAGTGTGTCTGCTTGTCACATGAGGTCAGGTGTGGAATTTCCCACTTGTGTCATATCAGTGCTAACACACTTCAGATTTTGGAGCATTTTTGGATTTCAGATCTTTGGATTAGGGATGCTCAACCTGTAGCTTGGAAAGAACCATTTTCCAATCCCATGCCCCACCATGTCCACCCCACATGAATTCTGCCACCATGAATGCTGCCACCAGAGGTGAGTAATTTGAGCTTTATTCCAGTTTATTCCTCTATTTAATCCCATTTTCCCAAATATCATGTTTCTGCCACCTGTTCTTGACTCTCCCCTCACCCCATTAAAGGTGTCACCAGCTGGCTTCCTGCTGTGGAGAGCTAGGATTTGTCTTTCTTCACAGTCTCCCCAGGGGCCCATTCTCCCCCTACAATCTTTTGTTGTTCTTGTTGTTGTGCTGGGGATTGAACCCAGGGCTTTGTGCATGTGAGGCAAGCACTCTACCAACTGAGCTATATCTCCGGCCCTCATTAAGATTTTAAATAAATTCTTATCCAGAAAAAAAAAAGATTTTAAATACATTAAAGGATAGCAGAAGTATACTGTGAATAACTTTTGCCTTTAAATCTGACAATTTAGAAAAAATGGGAATTTTTTTTAATACTGGGGATTGAATGGGTACGTTACTTGAAAGACACAGATTACCAAAATTGGTATAAGGAGAAACAGAAAATCTGAATAGCTCTATATCAGAGAAATTAAGTTTTTATTTAAAAACCTTCCCAGCTGGGCAAGGTGGCACCTGTAATCCAAGCAACTAAGGAGACTGAATTAGGAGGATAGCAAGTTTGAGGCCAGCCTCAGCAATTTACTGAGACCCTGGGAATCTCAAAGGGCTGGGCATGTGGCTGCTTGGTAGAACATGGACTAGCATGAGCAAGGCCCTGCGTTCAGTCCTCTGCACTGCAAAATAAATAAATAAACATGCAAACAAATCTTCCTACAAAGTCCAGGCCTAGTTGGTTTCACTTGTGAATTTCATTAAACATTTCAGAAAAAAATTAGTTTCAATCCTATAAATCCTTTCAGAAAACAGGAAATAGCATTTTCCAATTCACTTTATTCTGATAACAAAATTAAATGAAGTCTTTTTGTGTGTGTGTGGTACTGAGGATTGAACTCAGGGGCACTCCACCACTGGGGCACTCCACCACTGAGCCACACCCCCAGCCCTATTTTGTATTTTATTTAGAGACAGGGTCTCACTGAGTTGCTCAGTGCCTCCTCATTGCTGAGGCTGGCTTTGAACTTGCAATCTTCCTGCCTCAGCCTCCTAATCCACTGGGATTACAGGCGTACACCACTGTACTCAGCTGAAATGAAGTCTTTACAAGGAAAGAAAACTAAAGACCAACATCCCTCGTAGGCCTACAATAGATGCAAAATATCTTAACACAACCCAATTAAAAATAAGCAAACATTAGAACAGACGCTTCACAAAAGAATCATACAACCAGCCAACAGGCAAAAGAAAATGTACAATGTTCCCATTGGGCAAATAGAAATTTAAAGCACTGCACATGTGTTCAGTGATTAAAGTTCAAAGATCTGACACCAGCAAGTGCTGGCAAGGACCCGGAGCACCTGGAATTCCCACACATGGCTGGCGGGGAGGAAAATGGCACAGCTGCTGTGGCAGTTTCTCAAACAGTGTGACCCAGCATCCTGCTCCTCCGCGTCTACTCAAGAGGAATGAGCACATGTCCACACAAAGACTCACACAAGCAGCTATCTGTAATGGGCCCACGCTGGAAACAGCTCCTGTGTCCATCACAGGGGAGTGGTATGCAAACTGTAATGTTCCAACCCTGAGGATCGCCTCTCAGCAGCACCACCCGCTGGCACTCAGTCCCATGAGGAATCTCCAAGTCATGCAGAGAGGAAGGAATGTGCTAGCCAGTCTCCGCCTTAAGAGGAGAGCATGGCGGTGTGGCCGATGGTAGAAGGAGAGTGACTAGGGAGGGAAGGACGTTGCCTCGGAGAACCACTGCAGCAGTGCAGGCAAGGGAAGAAGAGGGGTCACACTAAGGAGATGGGCAGAGAGAGGGACGTGAATCAACCCAGACGCGGACAGGGGCATGCGACTGGAAGAGAAGGGGCATCACAGATGGAGGAGGCAGGCCTTTGCCGCTGTGGCCTGGCCAGAATCCATTGTCTCTTCTGGAAGTAGACCCCACGTTCCCTGTGGGAACATTCCTCACCCCTCTGCCCCTACAGTCCAAGAGCGGCTCTGCCACAGCCCAAGGCGGGAGGCAGGTAACTGGGTCCTGGCCAGTGGACACCCAGCTCCCCCTACAGTGGAGGATTCTGTTTCAAGGCTGTTTCGGGAGAGTTATAGGAACCAGGCTTGGCCCACCATGCAGTCCCATCCCAGGGTACGGAGATGGGTTCCGGAGTGAACTCGGCAGGAGTTATCAGAGGCTGGGAGTAGAAGCCAGTGGACATGAACCTGGAGTTATAAACCTGGAGCTGCCAGGGTGCAGGGAGGGCCTGCCCCCAGAGAAGCACCCTGGAGACAGCCAGCCTGAGAGTGAAGGGAGCCAGGTCCTGAGGACACCACTGGAGCCCTGGACTTCGTGTCAGTCTGTCCAGAGGTTCATTTGCTCACTTAGGTCACTTGCAACAGGTATGCCCTCGACTGCTCCATAAGGTGGAGAGACAGAAGAGCGCAGAGGGTCACCTTAGACACGCTGAGCACCCAAGTGGCAGTGTTGGTGAGACGAGACTTGGGAGCCCTTCTCTTGGTCCTTGAAATAAACTGTGGAATAAATGACAGTGCCCAGAGAGGGTGGGAAGCCAGAGGTGGCTGCGGCCAGCGCCCTGGGGAGACCTCAGGATAAGGCTTCAGGGGGAGGAGGAGGCAGCAAAGGTCAATAAGGGGAGGAGAGACCTGGCATAAGAGTCAGCCCCGCCCCAGGTCAGGTTGAGCAAGACCAAAAAGGAGCCAGTGGATCTGGAAACTAGGCCATCGGTGACCTTCCCAGCCCTTCTGGGAGTGCTGGGCCAGAAGCCAGCCTTGGTGTTGAAATGGATTCAAAGGTGAGGGGGAGGGAATCTGACCTTGAGAGGAAGGAGGAAAGGTGGTTAGTGTTTTTCCATTTAGGTGTTTTTTGAAGGGCAGGGAGTCGAGCTTGCTTGTGGAAAAGAGAGAGATTAGGCATGGGATGGAATCCCAGAGGCCCCCTGCCTCCTGCTGCAGAGGTATGGCTAGTTGCTAAGTTTGGAGTTTGGTTAGACAGGGAGGCCCCCAGGAGCCCTGACGTGGGGGTCAGGCAGGGCTCACCGAGGCTGTGGAACCTGAGGTCCACTGGGGAATAAAGAGTGTCCCAGAAACTGGGCCTTCACAGCCCAGGGGTGGGGGGGAGTAAAGGCCTGAAGAGGCGATGGCCAGGGAGGACCGTGGAGGGGCCCAGTCGGACACCTCTGGACGGTCATTGGCTCTTTGTGAGTGTGCAGTGCAGAGTCTGGGGTGGGCTTGGGGTCAGTGCAGCCGGTGTGAGGAAGGAGGACTGGCCGCACATCAGGAAGGAGCAAGGCCACCTGGACCCTCCAGCCCTTCACACTCATCTCCCACAGCCTCGGACCAACGATGACCTTCAGGGCGGAGCGGCATCCGGTCACTTTGTCTCCCTGTTCCCACCCCAGACACCTTCCCTTTTGTCAGCTCTACTCTGAAACCAGGCAGGGAGGGGACTCTGAGGACCATGGTTCCCACTGTTGCCAGGTGGGCCAGCTGGCCCTTGGAAACACAATTGGAGTCCCACTCAGGATCTAAAATCTTCTAGGAGTCTCATTTAAAAACAGGAAAAAGAAATGGGAAATTAACTTGAATAATATAACTTCATTCCGTATGTCCACAGTGGTGTCATTTGACGTGAGTTCAACATGAAGATTATTAGTGAGACATTCTACATTATTTTGTACTAGATCTTCAAAGCTGGCCAGCGAGGCACATCAGCGCTGCGGCGGAGCTGTTCCACCAAATTCAGGGAAAATGCTCTCGGATCCTGGGCCGCCGGGCACGCAGGGCCTGGGGCCAGATGTGCTACGCTGGCTCCAGAGCCTGTGCCCAGCTCAGGGCCTCTGTCCTCATTGGTGAGCTCCTTACCTGCTCCCTGTCCAGTCCCAGTGAAGCCAACTGTGGCCCAAGACTGAAGCCCTGTGTGACATCCCAGTATAGACATTGCCCTTTGTGAGGCCCAGGATGTGTGCCCTGTTCTCAAGCTGGAGCGCTCCGACTTCAGAGACCCGCTGCCAGTGATGTTGGAGGGCACGGATGCCCTTCTCTGGGCTGGATCAAGCTGAACCAGACCCAGGAGTGTTGGATGTGGGGCTTGGTCAGAGCCATGTGGGGCGTCTCCTCTGCCCCAGGCCCTCCTGGATCCCCAGCCTTTGCCCCCAGCTGCCATGAAGATCCAGACCTTTGAGTTAGGCTTTGGAACATGGAGACTTTCTTGGTGGGCCACGGGCAGGCGGTTATCAGATCGTCCACCTTGGTCTGGGAAGGTCATGGTTCTTAATGGTGGAGCTTTGTAGGGACTCACAACTGGGTGGGGGAGAGGAGGAGCCATGCTGAAGAGAGGTCAGTCTCCACAGCACAGAGGTAGTGGCACCGGAGGCAGTGGGGTGGGGTGGCACGTAGGCAGCCCTTTCACAATCCCATGGGCTCCAGCCAGCCCTGTCAGCAGTGACCCATTTTCTAGAGCAGGATCCCTGGCGGGAGGTGCCCGGCCCTGTCATTTCCCCCCTGAGGACTCCTGCCTGCCTTCGAGAAGTCTGTTTGGTCACAGAACCTTGGGGCATTTCATGGTGCTCCTTGGGTTCAGAGGGGCAGGAGGGCCCTCTGCTTCTCCCCTGCTTGGGCTCCAGGAGCCTGGCTTTGTTTACCAGCATGAGATTAGGTAACTCTGCCAACAGAACAAAGGCCCTGGCCTGCTGCCCAGAGGTTCTGGAAGTTCCAGGCACCAGGGCAGGAGATGCGCACGTGGACCTGTGCATACTCCAAACAGGCCAGGGAGGGCCAGCTGGCCGGAAACCTCGGTGGCCCAGGTCTGACCTAAAGGGCCCCAGGTGCCTCAGTACAGATGTCAGTGGGTTCAGACTTCAGCCACTTTAATCCAGAAGGCCATGTCAATTATGTTCATAAAAGCTGAGTGTTGGGAGGAAGGAGGAGCCCGGCCCCTCTTCAACAGCTTCTGGTTACACCCTAAGCTAATCTGGTGATCCAACAAGAGAGCTCGAACAAATGGCAGGACTATCTATCTGTGTTTCCATTTAATAATTTGATAATTTGCAATACTTTTAAAATGTCACAGACAAAAAGGGAATGGTGATCCATGGTTTATAAACCATCTCCTGGGAGTGGTTAGTTCCACTGGAAGCACAAAATAGACGTCTAACAAAGGTGAGCGGCTGACTCAGCCCCTACTCACTTCTTGCCTCTGTAGCCTAGTAGGTGGTCAAATTGTTGGGTTTAAATGCCTTTTAGGTGTTCTAGATGGAATTCCTGAAACGCATCTCTCTAGAAGAAGAGATGCAGTACTTAGAAAGGGACAGGAAGCAGACAACATCTCCTGTCATTGAATGCTGTTTCCTGCCTTCTGAGTTTGTTTTTATTTGTGGTTACTTATCTTTTTCCTCCCTCCCACTTCTGTCATCCAGTTATCAAGTTCCCCTCCATGGTTTCTTGTATATTTTTCCAAAATACAAATACACAGATATTTTATATGTGTGGGTAAATACATGTCTATCTATATATATTTTCCTTTTTATTTTTAATTTTTTACAAAAAATTTAGCTTATTGTGTTTTTTCTTTTAACTTCATCTTGTGTCTTAGAAATCATTCCTTATCAGTATTTAAAGAGTTTTGTAATTTTCTTGGATAATGGCATCATTTCCACTATTCAGCTTTAGCCATATTTATTTAACCAATTTCCTATTGATGGTAACTTGGGGGTTGCTTCCAATCTTCTTGTGTGACAAACAAAGCTGCGATGAATCACCTTGTTCATATCTGATTTTGTGGTGTGTCAGGTAAGTTCTAGAAGAGGAATTGGTCAGTGGTTTGTGCTTTTGTAATTCTGATAACTATTTCCAAATTCCCTTCCACAGAGTTCATACCAATTTACAGTGTCACCAGCGAGGAATGACATTGCATTTCCTTATAGTCTTACCAAGATGAATGCATTAACTTAGAAAAAAAAACTTTGCAAATTTGGGGGATATGAGTGTCTAAGTGTAGTTTCTGGGAAATTATGTTTAAGAGTTACTCTAGTTTGGATGTGGTTTCTCACATGTGTTGGAGGTGTGATCTTTGGTGTGATGGTGGTGAGGTGGTGGGACCTTTAAGAGTTGGGGCCTGAGGGGAGGGTCCTGAGGTCATGGGGGGTGGGTGCTCAGAAGAGATTAGCATAGTTCTCATGAGACTTCTGAACCGATTCTTGTAAAAGTGAGTTATTATTAAGCCAGTCTGACCTCTGCATCTCTCTCTGGCATTCTGTCTGGTGATGTGACCTCTCCTCTCCCACAAGCTCCTGCCAGGTTGTCCTCTTCCTCTAGGGCCTCACCAGAGGCCCAAACAATGAGTCTTCCTAATCATGGGCTACCAACTTCCAAAACTATAAGCTAAGTGAACCTCTTTTCTTCTTAAGTACCCAGTTTTATGTATTTTGCCATAGTAATGAAAAAAAAATGGACTAAATACAAGAACCATTTCTTTTTCTGTGAACTAATTACTTTAAATTTTTTTTTATCCTTCTCTGTTATTTTAAAGGCTGAAGACAAGTCCCTAAATGTTAAAAAATAAGTAAATAAAAACTAGGGAAGTGAGAAAAGCAGCACTCTCATTCTAGCCTCTTATAGTGGGATAACTTCTCATGACCAAGTGAGTTATCTTGGGACAAAGACAGAGAACAGAAGCTCCCAGAGTGTCAGAGACCAGTGAGGGTCCCGCCCAAGCTGCCTCCACCCTGCCCTCAGGAGGCCTAGCTGCAGAGCAGGGCCCAGTGGCTGAGGCAAACTCCACCGTGGGAAAGGGTCCCCCATCCATGGCACCCCACCACCTGCCCTTGAGGCCAACCCTCCTTTATGCCCGTGTCCCGTCGTCTCTGCCCCTGGAGGACACTGTGCCTGCAGTTGTCCTCTCACTGTGCTGCGTCCAGGCCCCTCCCCGGCTCCAGGTGTCCCCACCAGTGTGTAGAAGCGCTCTTACTCCCCGTCTCCGTCCTCCGTTGTCCCCTCTTCCCACTCACCTCCCGTCAATTCTTTGCCCTCTTCAAAGTAAAACCCCACCGAGGGGCTGGGGGTTCGCTCAGCTGGGAGAGGGCTTGCCTCGCCTGCCCAGGCCTGGGTTCAGCCCCCAGCACCACACCCCCACAGTCCACAGAGGATGGCGCTTCCTCTCCCCAGCCCTCTTCTCAGGTGCTCTTCCGGACCCTCCGTCATGGATGGGCCCCATCTGTCGGCCTCTCGGGGCCTGTGGGGCCTGGATTTCTTCCTTCTAGTTCTCCCCCTGTGTGTTGAAGCTGTGTTCTGGGGTCCACTCACATTCGGGATTTTCATGTCTTTGGATGAATGGACTCTTTCTCATTTCGAAGTGTCCCTCCTGTCCCCGGTAATGTTCTTGGTCCTGAAGTGCATTCTGCTCTGATGTGACTGGGGCCAGCATCTTCTGGCCAAGGCTTGCCGGCTGTGCCCATTTCTTTGGCTTTTTTTTTTTGGTGCTCCCCCTTAGTGAGCAGCATGTGGCTGGGTCCTGTCCCTGTGTCTAACCCGATGACTGTCCTGCTCGCGCCGACGGGTGCACCTGCATGGGCATAACTGTGGGTGGGGTTGAGCCCACTATTTTTCCGTGTGCCTTCTATTTGTTCCATCTCTTCTTTGTTGTTTTTTAAAATTTTTCCTTTTCTTCCTTCTTTTGGTTTGAGTATGTTGTAGAATTGCTTTTTATTTCCTCTAGTATTTTTTTTTATCAGACTTTATTTTTTAGAGCACTTTAAATTTACAGCAATTTTGAGTGGAAACTACAGAGAATCCCCACATGCTTCCTGTCGCCAGGACACACATAACCTCCCTCCTGGTTGACATCTCACATGCCCGTGGCTGGCATGCACCTGTCATCCCAGCTGCTCAGGAGGCTGAGGCAGGAGGATCACTTAGGCCCAGGAGTTTGAGGCCAGCCTGGGCAACATAGTGAGACATAGTCTCAAAAAATTTTTTTTCTATCCATTTATTACAATCAATGAACCTACGTGGGTGTGTTGTTGTTCCTCTGAGCTTTGAATCTTCCTTGTGGCTGTTATGTTGTTCAGCATCCCAGGGATCACAGTATTTACTTTCACTTACCACCGTCTACCTGGAGTTGATGGTGCTCCACTCCTGCTGTTATGCAGAACTTTGAGCGGAATAAGTCTGTTTATACCTTGTCTTCTCTCTGTGCTTTTACTGCCAGAGGTAGTCCTGCATTTGCCATACGAGTGGCCACACACTGCCGCTGTCTTTGCTTTAGTCAATGGTCTTTTAAATAATTTCTCTAAGCACTCCCATGCTCCCTTTTCGATGCTCCTTGTTCTTTGCTGCAGATTTAGGATCCCCTGGGGACACTTCTTTTTAGCCTGAAGAATGTGCTTTAGTGTTTGTGGGGGAACTTATGCCAGCAACAAATGATCACAGTTTTTGTTCTTGTGAAAATGTCTCTATTTTACCTTGAGGCATTTTTCCAGGGTGAAGAGTTCTAGTTGCAGTTTCCTTGAGCACTTTCAAGGTGTGATTCTATAGCTTTTTTGGTTTCCAGTGTTCCCGAGAAGTCAAAACTAAATAACTCCTATTTTTGTTTCTTTGAATGTGACTCTTTTGGGCGTGGCTGGTTTTAAAGTGGTCTCTTCATCGTGGGCTTTCCGCACTTGACTTGAGCGGTCCAGAGGTTCTGTCTTGGAGTTGATCCTACTCGAGGTGTGCTATGGTTTGGATATCAAGTGTCCCCCAGAGATTCAAGAGTTGAAGGCCTGGTCCCCAAAGCAGCAGTGTCCAGAGGCAAGGCCTTTGGGAAGTGGCTGGATCATGAGGGCTCTGACCTCGTGGATGGATTAATCCATTTTGGCTCAATGGACTACAGGGAGGTGGTGAAGGCAGTGAGAGGTGGGACCTAGTTGAATGAGTGGGTCCTTAGGGATGTGACCTTGGGGGCTGTATCTTGTCCCTGGCTCCCCCACCCCACCTCCCTCTCTCTCTCCCTGTGCTTCTGGGTTGCCATAAAATGGCGGCTTCCTTCCACAACATCCTTCTGCCATGATGCTCTGCCCTGCCTCAGGCCCCCGGCAACCGAGCCAGCCATGGACTGAAACCGTAGGCCAAAATAAAATTTTCCTACTTTAAGTTGTTGGTTGCAACAATAAAAAGCTGATTAATGCTGAATTTACTGAATTTTTGAGTTGTGAGCTGATAACTTTCATATATTTTGAAAATGGCCACTATCTTTTCCAATAAATTCTTCATTCCATTCTCTCTCCTCCCAATCTGTTACTCCAAATGAAAGAGTACTAGCTTACTTAATATTAGCCTACGTTTCCTGAATGCTTTTTTCAATCTTATTCTATTTTCTCTATGTGCTTCAGTCTGGGTTTCTCCTGTGGATCTATCTTTAAGTTCATAAGTCATTTCTTCTGCCATGGCTGGTATGATAACTTTTCATTTCAGATATTGTATTTTCCAGTTCTAGAATTTGCATTTAAACGTTTCCATTTCTATGCTGAATTTCCCCATATGTTCACCTGCTCCTCTATGAAAACACCTGGCCACAACTTTCACTAAATGTTTAAACATATTTGTATATTTTAAGGTCTTTGCTAATTCCAACGTTGAGTTTCCTGTTATTGGCCATTTTTCTTTTGTTTATGGGTCACATTTGTGCATGTTTGTTTGTTTGCTTGTTTGTTTTTTAATATTCTTTTAGTTGTAGATGGACACGATACCTTTATGATATTTATTTATTTTCATGTGGTGCTGGGATTGAACCCAGGGCCTCACACATGCTAGGCAAGTGCTCTCCCACTGAGCTACAGCCCAGCCCCATGTTTCTGCTTCTTTCCATGCCTATTAATTTTTATTATAAACATTTTGAATATTATATGTGGGGACTACTCTGGAATGTGATATAGTACTTTGAAGAATGTTGAACCTTTTTTCTGGCCCACAGTTAAATAACTGGTGGATCACCCTGATTTTAAGGGTTGATTTTAGACTTTGTTAGGCTGGATCTATTTCTGTTTTACCCACAGTCCTAGAAGGAAGCCTTCACTCCTTGGGTAGGGTCCTTACTTTCTGAATTTCTCTTGGGCTCCCTCTCTTTTTTGTTACTTGTTCCACAAATTAGAATTGTCATGTCAGCCCTGGACTCGGAACTCTCTTTTCTCACCTGATGAGGCTCCAGCTCTCTGCTTGGAATCCTTTGCCCTGGGTCAGTTTGAAAATGATCCTCGGGCTGAAAGTCAAGGTGAGGGCCAAGCTCAGCCTCGTGAGCTTCCCTTCTCTTAGGGGTCATAACCTTGAATGGACTGATGACGGCTTCACGTGTTCTGTCCAGTTTTATGATTCCTTTAGACAGGCAGATGAGCCCAGCTACTCTGCCAGGGAGTAGAAAGAAAGGCCTCCTCTCCCGAGTTCCCTTTCCAGTCAGTCTTTCACGCCCATGACGCCACCTCTCCAGGTCTTCGGGGACCTCCACTTTGCAGGCTCTAATCTTCTGTCTAAGGCCTGCTCCCTGGAGTGGGCAGCTGCTGTGCCCTGGCCGGCCACTCTCGCTTCTTTCAGAAACACTTTTATTTCCCACTTTGTTCTAGGAAACCAGATTTCTGGATTTTCCTCTTCTGCCTTTCCTCCTTCATTCCTCGCTGCTGGCCTCTCTTCCTTGCCTTCGAGCGTGGGGAGCCTAGAGTGCTGCCAGACTGCTTCCTGTCTCCAGCCAGACGCTCCCTGGGTCCATGTGGAGTCCATGGCCTCCAGTGCCTCCCTGCCTCCAGCTCCCAGGGTGCACCTCCCGCCTGGATGTGTGCCCCACTTCTTTCCTTCTGTCCACTGCAAGGCCCGAGAGCGTCCTGAACCCCACACGTCCCAGGCTGGACTCCTGGCTTCTCCCTCCACAGGCGCCTCTCCCTCTGTCTTGCCCATTCTTCCGGTTGCTCCGGCCAGCAGTGTGGGGTCATCCTGGACACGTTTCTCTTACTCAATGCCACACGCCACCCATCAGAAAGGTCTGGGGCTCAGCCTCAGCAGGCTGCTGCCATCTGGCTCCTTGGGCTCTTTGCGCCCACTCTCACCCCCTGTATCTGCCAGGCCTCAGCAGGATAGAGGGGGCTGTGTCCTGGGACACAGGCTGTGACTGCAGGGTGGTTACCAAGCTGCCGTGGCGGGCGAGGTCAAGGACGCCAACAGGACCTCAAGGACAGGTGAGGTCATAGCTGATGGAAGCCCTGTTTTGGGTAGAAAATCAGCTGCTGTCAAACTTCAGAGAGCGAGAGAAGGAGAGAGGGGGGGAGAGAGAGAGAGATCCCACCAGGGGAGCAGGTGCCCTCACCTCACCTGCTCCCTCTAGCCGCCTACCTCCGTCTCTCATTGGCTGAGCTGAGGGCTGGGCCTTGGCAGTGCATGGAGGTCACCCTTGTCCGTGGCGATGAGTCCATGGAGGTCAACCTCCCAGGCAGAGAGCCGACTGGGAAACGGACGTGAATCTAGAAGGCAAACAGTGAGTATCCCAAAGCCCACCGTTCCCCACAGACACACCACCACAGCCCATTGTCCCCAGAGCAGCCCGGAAGATCCTTGGGCTCTGGGGGACCAGAGAGGAAGGCAGAGCTGCAGGGTGGACAGAGCCGGGTCCACAGGACAGCAGCAGCAGCAGGAGGGCCTCCTGCCACCAGGAATTCTCCTCTGGGCTGAGAGGCAGAGAATCCATCTCAGCTGTGATTCGGGAGAGACGCTGGGAGTCTGCCTGCTCCCCTTTAGCCCTGACACATCTATAAAACAGGTGACAATGGTGTCACCTCCATAAGGTTGATGGAAGAATTAGATGAGATAAAATTGCTCAGGGAGATGCTTGGCAATGTCCCAAGTTCCCAAGCAATGGCAACAATTATTGTTACTTAATATTTGAAGTGCACACATGATCATATCATGCCACTCCTTTCTCCCCTAATGCCTTATCATGGGCTCTGAAGAGATCCTTCCAGCAAACAGATCAACTGTGGAGGGTGTGTGTGTGGAGGGGAAGGCCCACAGCCCCCCACCCCCCACTGCACCCCAAGAGGCTTCTGACCCCATGCCTTTCAGGCAGAGCCCAAAGAGGAGGGTCCTACCCTTTCTAGGCAAAGTGTCCCCCATGGGATCACATGTGGCTGCCAGGCCCCAAGATGCCCTAGGGGACCATGGCTCCAGCATCCGCTCTGAATCCCAGCTGGCCCCTGACTCTAGGATCCTTACTGTGCCTTGGGAGCCCGGGTCACTGGAGTGGTGGGGAACCCTGTGGGAGAGACCATGTGGGGAGCCGCAGAGATGGGAGAGGAGACAGCCCCAGTCACCCAGGTGAACCAGGTGAGCCCCGCCTCCTTGGGATCCCCGCAAAAGCATCCAGTGTGTGCCTGGGACACAGGTCCACTCTCCTGTCCTGCGGATCCCCAGCCACCTGCCCCTCCAGCCATCACACGAGCAGGAGGTCCCAGAGCTGCCCCAGCCACCCTCAGATTCAAAGGGAGTAACAAAGGTTTCCCGCCAGTTTCTGGGGGTGCCGTGTAGCAGCAGGTCCCCGGCAGCGAGCCAGGCCAGGCCACGGGGGCCGGGGACTAGCTACTTGCTGCCCCCGCCCACGGTGCAGGGAGAGCGGCCACTGCAGGCGCAGGGGACGGGGGGCGCTGGCCCGGTGGCGAGGCCACCTCCTGCCCTGGGCCGCCAGGCCGAGCCCAGTGGCTTGTCTCCATTCCTCTTCTTGATTGGCACTTTAATGAGGGCAGAAGGGGCTGACCCCCTGCCAGGGGGCCAGTTCATGCCCCGTTTATCTCACAGCCCGAGTCAGACTAAAACAACACCGAGGCCGCGCAGCCAGGAGCCGGCCGGGCGCCCCCGCCCGCGTGATGGATCGAGTGGCCGCTGCGAATTGGCAGCTGAAGTGTGTGGGGGCCGCGCCGCCCTGTCAGCCGGCAACCAGGGAGCGCAGGCCGCCGGCCAAACTGCTCTCCCCGGCACTGCGAGGGGCCGGCCTCCCTCGCCCGGCCCCAGCCCAATGCCAAGGCTAAGAGAGCCACTCTGGGGTCCTCAGGGGTACAGCACAGGGGTTGGCGAGTGGTGGGCTTGCAGGCAGAACCGGCACTGGAAACCTCTTCCTCTGGGCCTCCAAGCTTTAGGGTCCAAGACGGGCCCCATTCTCAACCAGCACCCCCTCTCACTGGCCTGCAGCTGGGCTTTGAGTCCAGCAACTTGTGGAGGAAACTTTTACTTGCTGTGCAACTTTGAGTGAGTCTGTCAACCTCTCTGAACCTTTGTGTCCTCATGTTACTTATCACTGGATTCTTGTGAGAATGAAATAAGACCTGCTGGCAAAGCCACCTCGGTCAGAAAGCGGCCCCTACAGTGAGGCCTCCTCACTCAGTTCAGCGCCTTAGCTCAGAGTGTCTCAGGGCACCTACACCTGTGTCTGCTGGCAGCAGCGCCCCTCCCACAAACACACACTGCCATCGGGAATGTCACCAGACGCTGTGCCCATGGTACCACAGCCCTGAAGCTTGGAGGTGAACCCCATTTACCCATGGAACAACTGAGGTTCAGAGAGGCGAATCTGCCCACTGTCCTGCCGAGAGTGGAGACAGGCTGGAGGTTCCAGCCCAGGGACATCTGGTTCCACAACCCGCGCAGCGTTCCCAAGGCCCTGAGTTATGGGCTGGAATTTCCCTGAAAGGCTGGTGGGAAGCCAGTGACCGCCCCGTGGGCCCTGAGGCTGGAGACAGTGCCGGCTCTCTAGAGTGCCCTGGGCAGACCCTGAGGGGATGCAGGTGGCGTCATTCTCAGGGTCCCCCTGGTGCCCCAGAGTGAACTTGAACTCTGAGCCACTCCCCAACCTTGCAGGAAGCAGAGGATGCAGAGGGGATGGCAGCCCCCTCTGGCGTGGAGGGCTGCAGTGGTCTGGCCTAGCTGCCGGGTCCTGGGATCTGGGACAGGACAGTCGCTGGAGGCCCAGCAGCTCGCTCCCAGGGCTGAGGCGGAGAGCGCGCTGGAGCTGGACAAAGGTCTCTGGATTCCAGAGAGCCTGGGAGGGGTGGAGAGTTCTTTCCCGGGCCTCCTTGGACCTTGTCTGGACAGCCCAGGCCTCCCGGGAAGGGAGGGGACCAGCCTCCACTTGCAGGAGACTTCACCTCCCCGTGAACTCCTGAAGGGCAGGAGGCCAAGCCCCAGCCGAGGTCACAGAAAGTAGCAGGGCCACAGTGGGGCTCCACGGGGTCTTCCCAGCCCTCCACAGGCCTCCAAAAGTGGATGTCTGCCTCAGCGCCCCTGATGCCCCACCGGACAACATATGACCTGCCCAGGTGGCAGGGGGCAGAGCAGGCTGCTGAAATGGTTGAACCCCAAATTCTGATGCACCAGCCTAGGAGAAACCCAGGCTTTTGGCTCAGGGTGCCAGTGCCTGGTCCTGCACCCGCTCTGAATGGCCTTAAAACTGGCTCCTCCCACCAGAGGACTTTGCATGCTGTTTCCTTTGTCTCAAAATGTCTTTTGCTCCAGGTGCTGAGGGATTACACACCTGTAATCCCCGAGACTCGGGAGGCTGAGGCAGGAGGGTTGCTAGTTTGAGGTCAGCTTGGGCAACTTAGTGAGACCCTGTCTCAAAAATTTAAAAAAAAAAACAGGCTGGAGATGTGGCCCCATGAGAGAACACTGGGCTCTGTCCCCAGTGCCAAAAATTTTTAAAAAAGTCTTTCCCTTTTGCCTGGTTAACTCCAAGTCAGCCTGCAGTGCTTTCTTCAAAGGCCGCTTCCTCAGGGAAGCCCTCCCTGCTGACTCCTCTCCCGGACACCTGGTAAGAATGGGTCACACCCCTGTGTTATGGCCCGCCTAGCTCCAGCAGCCCTTCCCTTGTAGTTCACACGTTAAGTATCACATTCTCGGTTGATTTGTGTTCACACTGATGAGCCCCGAGGGCAGCAGCCATATCTGCTCACCTGTGTGTTCCCAGCTCCAGCAGACGGCCTGGTACACAGCAGGTGCTTGACAGGTCCTGTGGGCGAGACGCCACTGGCCAACTCTATTGGGGCATGCCCAGAGAGAACATGTACCCAGAAAGCTGTTGTCGGATCTCTGATAGTGAATGAATTTGCTACAAAAGAAAATTAAAAGAAAAAAAGCAAAATTAATGACAACCCTCACCACTAAATCAAGAGAACAGACCCAAAATCAAGTTTGGGGCAAAAGTCTGTGTGAGTGAGGAGATTCTGAGTCCTCTCATTTCAAAGATTTGTTCCATGTGTCTCAGTAGGCCAAGTCCCCCGGGAATTGTGACGTCAGGGAAAACAGACTGAGCCCAGGACCAAACCAACCACGTTATTCCAACTGGTGATCTCCAGACTCTCATTTCTGACCACTGTGTACGAGGGTGGCACTGGGTGTGTGAGACCTCGTGCCACTCGGGTTCTCTGGGGGAGAGACAGACATCAAAAGCCATGGACTTTTCAATATCCTAAGTTTTGTGAATAAAATAGGAGGCAAAAGAAAATGGCCAACACATGTAAAGAGCTCATTAAAAGAAGTAAGAAGAGCATCCAGAGTCCAACATGTGTGAACAGAGGACATGAAGGATTATGGGCTGGGCAGTGAGTATTTGCTGAATGTTCATCTGTGTCAGACACAGCATTAAGATTTTCTTTTTTTGGTACCGGGGATTGAACTCAGGGGTACTCAACCACTGAGCCATATTCCCAGCCCTGTTTTGAATTTTATTTAGAGACAGGATCTCACTGAGTTGCTTAGGGCCTCGCTAAGTTACTGAGGCTGGCTTTGAACTTGCAATCCTCCTGCCTCAGCCTCCATAGCCCTGGGATTACAGGCATGCACCACTATGCCCAGCCAGCATTAAGAATTTTCTCTCTCTCTCTCTCTCTCTCTCTCTATGGTGCTGGGCATTGAACCCAGGGCTTGTGCATGTGAGGCAAGCACTCTACCAACTGAGCTATATCCCCAGCCTTATATCTCTTTTAATTATCATGGAACTATAGTAAAAAAATCTACCCAACAAATGTAAAGTTTGGTGACTAACACATGTTCCTAATTTTTCCGATATTGTCTATGAAAGCCTACAATTCTCATTTTTCTGAAGAAAACTTGCATTCCCGTCTTAGGCAAGTGTCTTTAACCGTGCAGGGTTCTACAGATCTCATCCCTTCTTTAAGGTGTGAAACCAGGTAGTTACATGTTCACGGCTCTGAGAGCCAGGTCTGGGATAAGACTCATTTATTTGTGAGACGGGTTCTGCAAATAATGTGATTACTGTTGTATATTCGAAATGCTCCACAAACGCACACTTTAGGGTAGTTCTAAGTGATACCGGAAATAGGAAAATAGATTCTAAACTCTCGGGGCGAAGACCATGTCTTGCTTTTGGCACTCTGAAGTACTGCATGTGCCTAAAGATCTTATAAACATTCAAATAAAAATTAAATGGTTGGCAGAATTGGAAAAGAATTTATCCCAACGGCCGCATGGAGATGGCTTTATCCCAGTTCCTGCCTACCTGTCAGGGGCCACGGTCAGTCACCGGCCAAGCTCAGGGGCTCTGACCCACCATACTGGGAAATGTTCATCCTCGCCACTAATCAAAGGAGGGCAGATTAAGGCAGCATCCAGAGACTGTTTTATATTTACTAAGTTATTAAAAAAAATTCCTTTGAGGCCACAACCAGCTTTGGCAAGCACACAGAGACTCATACTGTCACCCCGCTGCTGAGTGTACCACAAGTCATGGCGCTTTTGAAAAGAAACGGGTTGGGGCTGGGGTGTGGCTTGGTGGTAGAGCGCTTGGCTGGCATTCGGGAATCCTTGGGCTCATTCCCCGCACCACAAAAAATTATAATTTAAAAAAAGGGGGGCTGCGGGGTGCAGCTCGGAGATATAGCACTTGCCTAGCAAATGCAAGGCCTTGGGTTCAACCCCCAGCTCTGCACTAAATAAATAAATAAACAAATAAAAGAAACGGGAAAGGAAGAAACGTGACCACACCCAGTGAAAGGAGGTCACCCAGCTATTTCTGTTCTAACCCTGTGGGAATTTATGCCAAGGAAAAGGCGTCAAATAGATACAAAAAGCCAGGGCCATTAAAATATGCCTGGTGGCTTTATTGTCAATGAAAAACAAAATAAGACTATAGCCTAAACACTTGCTAAGGAAAGAATTTTCCAAAAATATGGTAAAAACATACAAAGAAGTAGTGTAAAGCCACCAAAATGACCTTAAAAGTAAGGATAACTTTGAAGATAATGTTGACTTAATAGTGTTAAGTAGGGCTGGGGCTGGGGCTCAGTGGCAGAGTGCTTTCCTCGCACGTGTGGGGCACTGGGTTGATCCTCAGCACCACATAAAAATAAATAAATAAAATAAAGGTATGTGTCCTTCTACAACTAAAAATATTTTTTAAATAGTGATAAGGAAATATAAATTGTAAAATTAAGTTTAGAAATGGCAGCTAGGTACAGATCTGTCTGCTCTAAGCTGAGTGGTCAGCTCAGGATCCCATCCAGATGCAGATAGGACAGTGGCACTTGCTCTAGGAGCTGGTGAATACCCAATTTTTTTCCCCCATCTTTTCTTTCTCGTCACGACACCATCTTTTTAATAATACTGGATAAATATTTTTAAACAATGAGTCCATGGATGGACCATCTGTTCTGGGAAGCCCCTGGCCCAGGAACTGTGGGAAAGGCAGGAAGCAGAAAGGTCACGGTCCCAGGGGGAAATCCCACAGTTGACAGGCCCAGCTTCAGAGAACCTGCTTTCCTGATGACCACAGTGACCCGGTTTTGAAGTAGTCAGCTCTTGCTGAAATGTCACACGGGTGGTGGATCACGGGGCAGTCGGTCTCCCCCATGTCCCTTCCTTCGTTCTGAACAAAGCATTTCTGTGGTGCACAGATGTCCACCAGACTTCAGTGCACTTCAACCTTATTTTAATCTTAAAAAATAACTAATATGTACATACATTTATTGTCAGGAAGCAGAGAGCTGGGTGCACATGAGGAAATAAAAGAAAGCCGAGGGTTTGTGGAATCCCAGGAAGATTCCCTACAATCAGGGACGTCGCTGAAGGAGAGCCAGTGCTTACCCCTTCCACTCTGGGGATGACCACAGTGTCCATCCCTACAGGACCCTGTCCACAGGCCAGAAGGCTTCTGACCCCGCAGGACCTGGCAGAGGGAGTGACAGGTCTGTGTAGCCCGGTCCCACTCAGGAAATGCAACTCAAGGGGCCAAGTTCTTGACATTATGTGACCTGAAACTCCATACTTTTGTTCAGTGGGAAAGATGGTTTTGGGTCCCATGGAGGAGCGGACAGCGTCACAGAGGCCAGTCACAGAAATCAGGAGTGCCAGAGGTGAGGGGGCATTGGGGGAGACCTCAGGCTGTCTATACTGCCTGCCTCCCTGGGGACAGAAGAAACCTCCAGGCATCAGTGGGGACACGGCTTCAGGTTTTCATTTCCTCGTGGGCTGCTGGCCCCATGTGAATGTCTGTGGCAGCAGAAGGAGCCAAATGCTCCTCTGTCTTCCCCAGCTGCAGGCCCCTTCTTCCTCCTCCACCCTCTGCTGCCCTTCCCCAGTCTGGGGGGAAGGTCAGTGTTGAGTTCCCATTTCAAAGGCCCAAACAGAGGCTGCAGGGCTTAAAGCCAGGCACCCAGTTAACATGGAGGGCAAGGTACAGGGGATGCTGACCGTCCCCCACCCTCCTGCAGGGCTCATCATTTCTTCGCCTTCCCTGTGGTTGGCAGGGCGAGGGGTGCCCCTGTCAGGGTGGTGCCAAGCAGAAAACAGGAGGATCAGTGCCAAGAGGGTCAAGGGCAAGTCTGAGCTCATGACCCTGGCCTGGTCCCTGCCCACTTCCTGGCTTCTGCTGCCGCCCCTCAGTCTTGTGCCTGTGGCCACACCCAGCTCTCTACCTTGTCTAGCACCACTCTGCTCCGTCATTAGGGCCTCAGCTCAAAGGTCACCTATTCCAAGAGGCCTTTGCTGACCACAGCAGACAGAGTCCTGCTCTGATGACCCTGTTGCATCTCCGCCACTGTCTGGTATGTGCCCTGTGGCTGGCCGTGTGCGTGTCCGTCCTGGACCCCTGCCTCTGTCTCCCTTCCCTCCATGATCCCAACGCCTGGTCTGGCTCCCCTCGTGTCTCCAGAGCCAGGTGCCCTGCTCACTCTGGCTGTGGTGAATGGACGCCAGGCCACTCTGGTGCTCCAGTGTGTCCTGCTGTGCCCACCTTGGTCACACCTTTGCTCCTGTCTGGGTCACCTATGTGTTTGGTTGTGCATCTTCTTGAACACCACTGTGGGTTCAGGTTGGGCACCTCCAGTGGACAAGATGGCAGGAGGGGAGCTGGCGGCTGGGCCCAGGGACTCCTCCAGCTCTTCTGCAGACCCTTTTTCCTTCCCGGGAGGCCGCCTCTCCCCTGAGGTCACCTATCCCAGGCGCCCTCCTCTAGCACACTCTCTGTGACTAGATGGCCCGAGAGGCCATTTCCCTCCAGGCTCAATGAGTGGAGGCAAACCTACGGTGACAAGAGATTGGGGCTGTAGCCGAGGCTTGAGGACCTTGGGATCCACTTTGCTGCCGACACCTCTTCCCTTGCTCTCAGAAGACGAGGCCTGGGGGTGGCTCAGGAAATGAGCAAGGAGAAGCAGGGCTGGCTGGGGGCCATGCTGGGGCCAGCTCCAGACAGGACGGGGGCCCCTGCGGCTGACAAGGGTGGAAGCCAGGGCTCACCAGGACATGTGGCCCACCCAGGTGAGACACTGGGCGGGGGAGGGAGGCAGGGCGGTGGCCTCCTGCCCATCGGGTCCCCGCGCTGGTCAAGGTCCTATGATTGCAGCTGAGGTGGCCGCAGCTCCTCCCTGGGCCTTCCCCTCATCCCAGACTCTCACCTGGGCTGGCAGTGGCGGGGGCTGGGAAAGAGGCAGGTGACAATCCCCCTGAGAGGTGACAGCCTGGGGCGGGAGCCACCAGCGCGCCACCTGAGAGTGGGTGAGGAGCAGGTTAGCTGGGTGAAAAGTTCAGCGCCAGGGCAGCTGTCTGTTTCCCCGCGAATTCACCCACTATTTGGCTAACCTTGCTCTGAACCCAGGCCCGAGACCCCTCTCCGCTCCCCCCGCCTCCCCGCTGGGCGCCCCGGCTGCCACCCGCCTCCTGCCGCCCGCGCCGCCAGGCTGGGGACACGCTGGCCTTGAGAGGCCTGGGCCGAGGGCGCCTGGGGGAGAGGCCGGTGGCCCGGCCAGCGGTTATTTATGACCTGAACCTTCTTCCCATCTTCAGTAACCAAAATAAAGCCGGCTGCGGGCTGCGGGCGAGGTCTGGGCCCCCAAAGGCCAGGCGTCCCGCCCGCCCTCCCAAGTGCACAGCTGGCTCAAGGCAGGGACCTTGCCTCGGCCATCTGTCATCACGGCCTCAGGCAGGAGCTGGACACAGGGGCCAGCAGTGGCGGAGGGGTGGCCAGCCGGCTTCCCTGGCCCTTCTGTCGGTCCTTCACTGCTCAGGGGCCGATCCCCACAGACAGTCCTCGTCCTGGTCCCCCTTTTCCTGACTTGTTCTGTGGGATGTAGAGGTGGAGGGAGAGGACTGTCCCTTGGCAGTGTCCACCCACTGCTGGCGGGCAGAGCTCCTGGCACCCGTGATTTCCCAACATCCAGCAGCAACCCTGTCTCCTGGCCGAGGAGAATTGCTGGTGACAGAGCAACCCAGGTCACCGTGACCCCAAGGCCGCACTCTCAGCCACTGGATGCACTTCCACTCTCACTTTCCATCCTCTGCTGAAGTCCCTTCTTGGCAACTGTAGAGGTCACACGTCCCAGCGACCAGTGGAAACAAAGATCCACAGAGCATGCATCGTCCTGTCCCCAGCCTCACCCCTGCGAGTTCCAGATGACTTCCTCCACTGCCTCCCGACAGCGTGGAAACCAGGGCACGTGTGGTCAGGAAGAGGCTGTTTTGACAGTCGTGGGTCTCACGGTGCTTGCTCGTCTCCAGGGATGCAGTGCCAGGAGCTCCAGGTCAAGGCCGGAATAATTCTTTTTAATAGCTGCATGACCTGCCTGCTCTGGGTGATCCAGGATTTTTTTTTTTTTTTTTTTTTTTGGTACCAGGGATTTAACCCAGGGATGCTCTACCACTAAACCACATCCCTGTTCCTTTTTAAAAATTTTGAGATGGGGTCTTGATGAGTTGATTAGGGCCTCACTAAATAACTGAGGCTGGCCTTGAACTTGAGATCCTCCTGTTTCAGCCTCCTGAGTAGCTGGGAGTAGCCACTGCCATTGCCTTGGGCTGAACCAGGACAATTTTCACTTGCTTACTTTTTTTTTTTTTTTAGTTGTAGATGACACAATACCTTTATTTATTTTTATGTGGTGCTGAGGATCAAACCCAGTGCCTCACATGAGCTAGGCAAGCGCTCCACCACTGAGCCAGCACCCCAGCCCCACTTGCTTACTTTTGTAATGAGATAGGACTTACTCAGAATCCCAAGTGCACAGCTCCATCAATGCTGCAGGGCTGAACGTGTGAGGTCACCGTGCACCCATCGTCTCCTGCCCCTAAATTCTCTTCCCCAGTCTCATCAGCTCAAAAGATCATCACTAGGGTTCCTCTGTCTCCACAGATTCATCGCATCTGTTTTGAACTCTGCATGAATACCATGAGGAAGGAAGGTTTTGTGTCTGGACCCTTTTGCTTGATGTATGTTTGCAGAGCTGCCCACGTCCCCGGTGGCAGGAGGCTGTTCATTTTGGTGGCTACATTGTGTTTCATTATTTGAATGTCTGCCATAATCCAGCTGCTACTTGAAGGAAATGAGCATAGTTTCCAGTTTTTTTCCAACACATCACAAGCAATGCGGTAATAGGCATCTTTGAGCACACACCTCTGTGGGCTCACGCTTTTATGTCTAAGGAAGGACTCCATCTTTCCATTTGTTGATGAGAATTAAAGTTTCCTTTTGATACTTATCCAAGGACTTGACGTTCCTTCCATCTGGAGCTCCATCCAGTGACAGGACTTCATTGATGGGACCTCATTGACGGGACCAGATCTTGCTGAGGAGCAGTGGGATGTACCTCACGGACAATGGACAGCCATCAACAGCTCTAAGCAGAGTGGCGGGGGAAGATGTGTGTTCCGGAAAGGTCTCCCTGGCTGCATGGTGGGGGAGCCGTGATGTGGGACACTGTGGAGGCAGAGACCACTGTTGAGAAGAGCAGCTGAGGCAGGAGGGGACAGCCCTAAAAGATGGAGGGGAAAAACTGACCAGCCCCAGGGAGTGGCCAGTGGAGGGGGCAGCCTGGGGGTGAGGACAGACAGGGCATAGAAGGGTCATGAGACCTGCTCCATCTCGCCCAGGCCCCGGCCCAGCAGGGTGGCCCTGACTCAGTAGCCAGCCGCTAAGGTTCTGCCCCACTCTTAGGGGCTGGGTCTGTGTGGCGGCCACTTCCCGAGTCCTGCTTTCTCTCTCCACCCAAATGGGCCCCCAGCCCCACAGGGAGGCCTGAAGCCCTTCTGCTGGGTGAGTCTGCCATGACACGGTGGCCAGTTCCCCGGGGGAGAGGACGGCCTCCTGCCTCACCTGGTCTCGGCTCCACACCTCTCCTCTGGAGGCCTGTCTACTCCCCACTAGCACGTCCAGTCTGATGATTACTTCATGAGGCAGGAAAACCAGGTACCCATCTAGCACTTACCAAATCCCTGGGAAGGCCTCCTGCCCCTGCTGGGAAGGCCTCCTGCTACAACATGGGAACAAGAGGCCTTTAGCATCAGCAGAGGCCGCCAGCCACCACTTCTTGCAGTTGGGGTGAATGGGGAGGCTGTTCCCGTTCCTGCCAGGAGGGGCAGACGCAGGGCCGGATGGTGGCAACCCCGAGAGGTCTCCCAGCCCTACCTCAGACAGCCCGTGATGGACTGCCAGAGAGGCCTGCTCAGCTGCCAAGCCCACACTGCCAAGTGCCCACCAGGAGCCTGCCAACTGCCAGTCAGGAGGGGCCAGTGATCAGGAGGAGGGCTGCCAACTGCCTGTCACTACCCTGGCCAACTGTCAGTCAGGAGAGGACCAAGCCCCAGGAAGTCAGGGTTGCCCGTCAGGCATCAGCCAACTGTCACTCAGGAAGGCCCGCGGCAAGCCAGGGCGTCCGGCAGTGGTCATTCTGCTGACAGATACTGTTCCCGCTACCTGGCATCTTTTCACCTTCCCTGACACTGGGCTTTCAGGGCTACCCCTCCCCAGCGCTCAGTCCCTGCATCTCTGTGGGCTGGTTTCCTCTTTGGCTGCCAGGACAGACCACAAGGCTCAGGTTTGGCCAATTAGACCACTGCCTTCCTCTGCCGTTGTGATTGGTTTATGCCTGGACCTGGCTCTCAACCCCGGCCAGCTGTAACCAATCAGAACCAACGCTGGGTGAGGAGTCTTCTCTGGGGTGTGAGACTAGCAGCCAGCTTGCCATCGCTGGAGCAAGATGCTGAGAAGGAAGCCAGCCCCAAGGATGCCAAAATGAAGGGCAGAGAAACTGGATCCGGGTTCAGGTCCTGGAAATACTGTGTGCTCCTGGATCCAGCCATACTGAAACCAGTCACCACTGGGCCTTCTAGTTGTGTGAATCAATGAATTCCTCCCTTTGGGCCTAGCAAGAAACATCATGAGGAGCACCAGCAATCACTCTGGGAGTCTACCAGTGTCTCCGGGGCCCAGATGCTGGTCATGGCTTTAGTGGGAGGCTAGGGATGTTTCCAGAGGAACTTCTGACTTAAAGGGCTAGACAAGCGGCTCCATGTTTGCCCTCCTTGCCCCAGACTGTGGAGCTATTGGCATGATCAAGATGTTGCCCACGGGCTGGGGCTGCGGCTCATCGGTAGAGCACTCGCCTAGCATGTGCGAGGCGCTGGGTTTGATCCTCAGCACCACATAAAAATAAATAAATAAAATAAAGGTATTGTGTCCAACTACAAGTAAAAAAAAAAAAAAGATGTTGCTCAAGCCTCAGCATCAAGCAAAGCTGAGAAGTGGGGGATTTGCCCCAGTGAGGTGGTATCTGGAGCAAAGACTCCCCTGGGGTCCAGTGGCAATGGCAGCAGCAGCAGTGGTTTGGAGCTTCCTATATCCTTTCCAGAAACTTCAGGGAGAGTCAGTGTCTTTGGGGATTGGGACAAAGAAACCCACCAGCCCCTTATACCCTCAGGGTGAAGCAGCTGCATCTTCTGGGGACAAGGAACAGCCGACTCAAGGCTGCTTTCTGCAATCCTGCCTCCTCACACTTGTTAAGTGTCCTTCCATGCACCTGGCAGAGCACTGGGCACATTTCAGGTGCTCCAGGAATTATTGGAGGTAGGGGGACGATCTGCCCAAGAAAAGGAAGGGGAGAAAGTGTGCCTGCCTGAGGAAGGCTGGGACGCTGTTAGTCAAATTTCTGTTGCTCTGATAAAATACCTGAGAAAATTCTAAAAAAGAGAAGGTAATTTTTGGCTTAGTTTCAGGCAATTGGTTTTGGGCCTGGCAGAATGTCACTGTGGGCGGTGGGCAGCTTGCCTCATGTGGCTGGGAAGCAGACAGAAAGAGGAAGGGGCTGGTGTCCCAATCTCCCCTTCAAGGACATGCCCCCAATGACCTAACTGCCTCTCACTAGGCCCCACCTCCTACAAGTTCCACCACCTCCCAGTAGCACCAAGGACTGAGATCAAGCCATTAGCACAAAGCCATTTAAGATCCAAATCATGGTAGGTACCAAAGAAGTCATTGACCTCTTCCTCCCAGCTCAGAAGTGACTGGGCTCAGAGGTATTGGAATCTGACAGCAGTGTTGACACGGCTATGCCAGGAAGAGACCAGGTGGGGCCGGATAAAGATCTCGATGAATCACGACAAGTGCCAGAACCACACTCTTACATCTCAGGCTTCTCATTCAAGAAGCCACAAAACTCAGGGATTGAAAGTCAGGAGTGTGCAGCTCCACTCTGGGGTTCAAATCCGGCTCCACCAGCACCCCTATAAAATAATCCTGGGGAGATCCTTTTACCTGCTTCCAGCTCAGCCTCCTAGAGCAGGTTAGATTTTCACTACTAATACATATACCTTACTCACACACAGGGATTGAGTACTGTGATTATAAAATAAGTATGATTTATTAATGTCTTACTAGGTGTTTACTGGCACCAAACCCACCCGTGTTAGTTCACTATGTGACTTACTCCCTAGGTTTTCAAAGCCACTCTGGGGGACAGAGCTATTGGTCCCATCCCACAGAGGAGGAAGTTGAGGCTGAGGGAAGTCAAGATCAGGTTAAAATCAAGCTCAAGTTCCCAGAGAGCCTGGCTCCAAACCCCAGACTCTTTGCTTCTCCGCGCGCGCCCCGTGGCAGCAGCTGGAGCGGCCACTCGGCTTCCCTCGGTGGACAGCAAGCAAGGCCGGCCAGCCAGGGAGCCAGCCCAGCCCCAGCACAATTGCCCCGGGGAGCCAGGGTGGTGTTGGGGGATATTTAGCTGCATAGCGCACTCCGCATGCCAGGGCTGTAGGAGCCCACACGCCCAGAGCCAGGCCTCAGGCTGGGGCTCTGCCCAAGCCACATGTGACCTCCCCAAGCAGGATCCAGTTACATCACAGCAGCAGCCCAAGGAACAGACCTGGCTGTGTCTCCCACCACGTGCTTATTTCCTTTGCCTTGTGAGTGTTGAAAAATGAAAGGAATGATAAGGGTTTGGGGATGTGGTGGGGGGCTGGCTGGAAAATCCTGCAGAACTTGGGTAACTCAGCCAGAGGGAGGCACGGAGGAGTTCTCAGAGAGAGAAAAAAATCTCACAAGGTTACAGGCACAGCCTGGGAGCAGGGGCTTCTGGATTCCTGCTCCCCGTTGGGGGTTGAAGGTCCAGCCTTGGGACAGAAGGTTCACATCCTGGGGTTCTGCTGCTGGCCTCCCAGGGCCGGGCCACCACAGCCCTTTGGGCCTCAGCTACTCTTGCAAGGAAGAGTTGGGGAAATGCATGCAGACCAGAGGCCCCTGAGGGGCAGTTTTGCTCCTCGGGGACATTTGGAAATGTCCAGGAACACATTTTTTGGTAGTCAGAGCTGGGAAGGGCAACTAGTGAGTAAAGACCAGGGAAGCCAGACACCCTCAGTGCCCACGATGGCCCCCGCCACAGAGAATGCTCCTGTCCCCAGTGTCAAGAGCCTGTGGTTTAGAGAAGGCCGATGTGGAGCCTGGAAGGTGTAGCAGCGCAGGCCCATCGGGAAGCTTAAGGGAAGGCGGCGGGAGGAAGGGGCGTCCTGGAAGCCTCCACGTGGGCTGCCTCTGAGGAAGCGTCTGTGTCCGTCAGACAACAGATGTTTACCCAGTGTCTAGCGGAGCCAGCACTCTGCCAGGAGCTGGGCAGAAGTGGACAACTTCTCACCTCACGCAGTGTCTGGTCCAGAGGGGCAGAAAGAGCCAGACGGAGTAAGCAAGCAAGTCAGTGACATGGCCCCCAACACCATCAAGGATGGTAAATGGATGAACAACTGCCGTCTGTCCAGACACTGCGAGACTGTTCAGCCACCGAAGGAGGATGTCCTGATGCAACTATGACCCGGATGAACCTGGAAGGCCTTATGCTCAGGGGAAGAAGCCCAACCCTGCAGATCACGTGCCACTGATGGCATTGCTGTGAAAGAACAGGAAAATGTGTAGAGACAGGAAGTAGCTGGTTGCCAGGGACTGAGAGAGCTGGGGGAAATGGAGGAGGACTGGTAACGGCTACAGAATTTCTTTTTAAGGTAATGAAAATGCTCTTGGATTGGTTGGGATGTTGGTTGCACAACTCTGAATAATGTCTTACACACCATTGGACCGCACTGTCTTTTTTAGTACTGGGGATTGAACTTAGAGGCCCTTTACCACTGAGCCCCAGCCCCGCCCCTTTACTTTGCTTTTATCTGTTTGGTACCAGGGACTATACCCAGGGGCACTTCACCACTGAGCCACAGCCACAGGTCTTTTAATTTTTTATTCTGAGACAGGGTTTCACTGAGTTGCTTAATGCCTCACTAAGTTGCTGAGGCTGGCCTCAAACTTTCCATCCTCTTGCTTCAGCCTCCTGAGCCACTGGGATTACAAGTGTGCTCTACCACAGCCAGCTTTTTTTTTTGTTTTGAGACAGGGTCTTGCTAAGTTACCTAGGCTGCCCTCAAACATGTGCCTCTCCTGCCTCAGTCTCCTAAATAGGTGGGATTTGGAGCTTCAATGGCTGACTTGTGCAGCGTGTGAATTGCAGCTCCATAAAGCCATTGTGGACACAACAGTAATAACGATGATGGTTGATGAATGAAATAAACAACAGCCTGAGACAGATCAACCCAGTGCCACTGTGGCCAGATGGGAAGCTGCCAGGAGCTGATATCTGAGAAGGAGACAGAGACCAAGGTCCAAGAGAGGGGACAGAACAGAATGTGCGAAGAGCCTCTGGGGCCAGAGCCCAGGGTGTGCCCAGTGGGAAGGCAGCCCGCATTACTGTGGCTGGGGGCTGACCGTGCAGAAAGGTTCGGAGACCTGGCCTCTGTGCTCGGGACCCTGCACATTCTGTTCTGTCATATGCCCCCAGGGGCTCGGCACCTGGGCAGGTGGCCTGGCCTCCATGTAAAGGACAATTTACTTTCAAAGTGCTTTTTGTTATCCTCAGTAGTGTCTGCAACATCCCTGGTGGGGGTCAGGGGGCGGGGACCCTAACAACCTCCACCCCCAGGTTGCACTGGCTGGCCTCTGAGTCAGGCCAAACCACCCTGGGCCAGCGTTGCCGCCAGTAGTTTTTCCTCCTTGTGGACCCTCCTCCCAGTGCCTGATGTCAGCCCTAGGGGACACATCTTCCTAGCAAGGTGTCATTGCCACTTTGAGCAGTACCTTCCAGGGGACTTCTTTGTTTCTTCTTTCCAAGCCACTGGAGGATCTGAGCACCAAGGGCTGCCCAGAGCCAAGGATGGTGGGAGATGCCAGAGAAATGTCCTACAGATATACTGCATTGCCTGCTCTGCCCTGGGGGCCAGCCTGTTCTGCCCTGGGGGACAGCCTGCTCTGCCCTGGAGACCCTCAAGCATGCAACTGGGTCACTTCCGAGGACCTGAGTCTTCTTTGTCGGGTTGGCATGCCCTGCCCTCCCTAGGGATCTCCCTTCACCCTTGTGCCCACCACCCTGCAGGGGTCTTCTGAGTCACAGCTTTATCCCACCACGACCACAGGGAGCCAGGCACGCAGTGACTTGCTGCCATCACACGCCAGGTCAAGACGTTGACCAGGTGTCCTGAGGAGTCCTCGGGTCCTGTCTATCAGCTATGGGGCCACCAGCATCATGTCACCCCCTTGAGTTCACAGAGCCTCTTAGGTATGATTAGCACTGGAGAGTGACCCTGGGCCTAAGAGGCAGGGGTCTGAACAGAGACCCTACTCTGTAGGGGAGGAAGGGCGATGTCACACAATGGAGGTGGCAGAGCCCAGAGGGGAGCTCAGGCCAGTGGGACTCCAGAGTCAAGATTCTGCTCCCAAATCTCAGGGCTTCCCACTGCTGGAGGAGTCTCGCTGCCGCCTGGCAGGTGTGGGAAGCCTGGGCACTCGGAATGGGCATCTGGGCATCACATCTACCAGGAGCCTGGGGACCTCAACAGTCTGCGAGAGGTGGCAGGAGCCTGGACCCTGCATATGAGGGACAGTGGTCCCAGATTCAGGAGGAACTATAGTGGGCAGCTGTCCATTTATGAAGAGATGGATATTAATGAACATTTGTAAATCAAATCACTGCCTCACAGCCCCCCTCAAAAGCAGCCCAGCAGGATGGGGGTGCCCTGGAGCTGCCCCAGCCCTTCCTCCTGTGTTGCCTCCTGGCTTTTCCTGGTGTCCAGGCCGCCTGTATATAGAAGTTCTCTTCATAAGTACAGACATCCAGGGTGTCATCAACCTCTGCTTCCACTGAAAGCCCCTCCTGAACAGCGGAGGAGTCCCCCTGAAGGTTATGGTAGGAGTGTGGGTCTCTCCTCTCCTGAGACGGTCCCCTTGCCATTTAGAACAGTTCGCTTAGGACTTGGGCAGATGACTCCTCTGTTGGTGATCTGGCTCCTTTCTTTATCCCCCACCCAATTAGAACATTCCCAAGGGCAAGGACTGGCTTCTCCACCAGACAGAGCCCTGGGCTGGGGCACAGGAAGGAGTGGGGTAAGGGCTGAGCCACGCAGTCAGCCCAGGAGATTTCTATCACTCTAGAACATTAGTTTGGCCTGAGGAGAATCAGTTTCTCAAAGTATTCTGGTCCCCAGGAGCTGGGTGGTGGCCACAGGACTCAATTCCTGATCACTCAATTCCTGATCAGATAGCCTGGTCCCCTGAAATGGGGCCAGGATAGGGCTTAGGTCTGGTGCCTCCCTGGGCTTGGCGCCCACCCCCAATCTGGTTCTCTTTTGGTTTGGGGAAGAACCTCAAGCATGGCAACTCGGCCACTTCCCAGGACCTAAGTCTTCTTTGTAGGGTTGGCAGCCCTGTCCTGTCCCTTGGAGGTTTGGCGCTTGTCATGCTCCTCCGCTTGCCCGAGCACAGGGACAGAATTAGCTCTCCAAGCCGCCAAACCTTCCCTGGGAGGGACCAGAATTTGGCCTCCTGGGAATCTGCCCAAGGCTTTTCTCCTTGGTTCCTCTGGGAAAAGATCCAGAAAAAGACTGAAAGCTCTTGGCAGATTGGAGGAGGGGAGGGGCGAGACCAGGCTCTGTCCTGCCTTCAGAGGAAGCCCCCCGGCTCTGGGAAACTGAGAACTCCCACCACAGCCAAGACAGTGACTTGTGCTCCGTGGCCCTGGGGAGGGCTGGCTGGGCCTCCCTCCCTCCCAGCATGCAGTCACTCCCCAGGGATCCTTGCTGCATTCCTGGCCTGCAGGCCAAATGCAATTTCATGGAAACCTCAGGAGTTGAATGCTTTCCAAAAGGGTGGCCTGGAGCCAGACCATGAGCACAGGAATCTATCCACTCTGCTCAAGGAAGGTCCGAAAAATCAGGACTCAGCAGACAGATCCCCAGCTGGTCCTCCTGTCTCTGCCCACCAAGATGTGCCCGCCCCCAACCTGGCTCCTGGGCCAGCCAATGACAGGCACCTGCCCTGGGGACACACCCATGTTGTCCAGCCATGCGGGGTGGGGGGAGGGGGGGTGTCAGGTAGTTGTGAACATTCCAGAAGGACCCCCTTGACACCCAAGGCAGACTTTGGTGACACATGTCCTCAAGAACCAAAAGGAAGCTGATGGAAGGGTCCGGGATGGGTGCCATCTGATGCCAGGGTAAGGAGAGGGGCTCGCGGGTCAGGTAGCGCTGGGTTCAGACCCTGGGTCCTGGCAAGCGGGGTCTTTTCTCCCCTTTGGCATGGGCGTCCTGGCCCCCTTCCCCAGGGGTGCTGTGAGCGGAGAACCTGGCCTGTGTTCCCAAGGGCCACCACGTCCCTGCCTCGGCTTCCCTCCATCCCGGCCTATACTTTAACCTTTCCCCCAGACATCATCTTCCGTGCCCGCCCCAGCACCGGGGGGACGGCATTTCCTGCTGCACCCCGCGCGGGCTGGATCACATGACCTCTCTCTGGCCAATGAGACGCGAGCTGAAGTGACGCGAGTTGTTTCCGGGCAGAAAATTGAAGAGCCAGTGGCAGCTGGCGAGGGGCGCTGAGCTGCGCCTGGACGCTCCGTCCTCGATGGAAGGAAGCCCTTGTGGCGCCTGAGCCCGGGGCAAAGGCGACACAGCGCGGAGCTGGAGCCACCTGGCCGGAGAGGCAGCGACCCTCAACTGAAGCTCGCGTGGAGATTGGGGTCGTGTGCGCAGCCGTCGCCGAGAGCCGGCCCGGGGTCTTCGGCGCCTGGGGGTGGGGGGCGTGATGACTAACAGTGCAACTGTCGCGCCCGGCGGCGGCCACGCTTAGTGCTTAAAAATGGTAGAGAGAATCAATTTCTGCTCGCAGACCAGAGTGACCCTCCTGCCCGCTGAGGGTGGGATCTTCTAATGGCAGTTGGGAGGGCTCGGCCTGAGGTTTGTATGCACCCCGGGAGGAAGCGCCTCCCTGAGTCAGAGGCCGTGACCTTCTGCTGCGTCCCTGGGGAACCCCCGCCTGCTCCCTGCCACCCACCCGCAGCAGCTCTGTGGACAGAGGCTGCTTCTGTGAGGTGACATTGTTTGGTGAGCTTGCTGCATGGGCGCTGGGAGGGACAGCCGCCAGAGATCCATAGGGCGACCCTCGCCACCTCTTTTTGGCTATAACTTTCCCCCAATGACTGAGCCCGAGACCAATACCTTCAGCAGCCCCAGACTTCACTTTTCCTGCAATCAGATGTGGTGTGGGGTCCTTGCTGTCCCATAGCACTGGCCTTATTGCAGTGATCTATCACTAAGTGTTTTTTTCCAGTGACCCATGGTCCCTTCTTGACCAGATGATTGACATCAGGACTGGAGGTCTTCAGAGTTTGGGCTTCTCAGCAGCGTTCCCCTGTCCGCTCCACCCACGTGCCATGTAGACAGCAGGTGTCGGTGAAGACAGGTTCTTCTCTCCCAGGTTGATGGCCTGGTGCTGCTGGCACAGGATGGAGGGCAGCCCCAGCTGTGGCCAGCCCCAGCTGTGGCCCGCTCTCTGCAGTCTGGTTCTTGGTGGTCAGGCAAGGGAACCACTGGTGTTGGGAAGGGCTCTGGCAAGGAACCAGGCACTTCCCCCTGCCCTCAGGTCTGGGCTCCATTTCCTCTCCTGGTCTTTGCCCACTTCTCTCCTCCTGGCAGCTGGGGGCCCTGAGCTGGCCAGTTCTCTCAAAGGATAGGGTTTTGTGGTTGGGGCTGGCTCCCTCCCAACTGCCCACCAAGGATGTGAACAAGGGAACTTGCAAAAGCCATCTCTCTTTATTTTTCATTCCAGCTGTTCAACCAGTTTGTGCAAGCTGAGGATGAGTGGGTTTTGGAGGGAAAGGTAGAGCATCTAGGGACAGACCCTCCCAGAAATAGTCTATGCACACTGCTGAGGCTGGTTAGACTTGAGAAGCAATTTAACAATGAACTCTACAGAATCAGAAATGTAGAAATGACAAGGCAGCTGCTAGCTGGTTTCTTGGCTCCCCATGGGGGTCAGAGTTACACCCATCAGTCCTGTGCAAAGGTCCTGGGGCTGACCTGGGGGGCTGCCATATTCTTCCCTGGGGACAGAAGCAGCCCTGCTCACCCAGCAGAAATGTACCAACAGGCAGGCGCATGGGTGTGTGCCCAGGTTCTATGGCCCCTGCAGGCTCTGTGGCTCCTTGAGCATGTCTCTTCCTCCTGCCTCTATGTCCGCCCCTTGAAGGTGTTCATGCAGGTGTAGGTTCCTGAGAATCTGTGGATCTCCTCCAGTGCAGCCTGTGGGAGTATGCTGGGGAGCAGGGAGGAAGAAAGGAAGATGGTCAGCAGGGGGGTCACTGGTGGCCACATCAAACAAGAGTGGTAGAATGGTATTCCTAGAAGCACTCATCTCCCCTTTCCCAAGCACAGGCCAGCTTCCCCTGTGACCACCGCGTTCACCCGGGGAAGGGCTTTCACACAAGTGGGTGAGCCGCTCTCCACAAGGTGAAGGGCGGCCACAGGATCAGCTTTGCTGCGCCACATTCGTGGCATCTACTGTGGTGTGAATGTGCTGGTCCCCTCCGAAATTCACGCTGCAATGTGGCCATCGTTGGTGGAGTTGGGGGGTGACCTTGAGGGCGCTCTGCCCTCACGAGTGGACTGTTCCACTCAGGCGTCATGGGTGGTCTGGCGGTGGCTTTGTCATAAGGCAGCTGGCTGACTCACCACGTGGTGCCATGCTGAGGGACAGCAGCACCATCTCTAGAGGCCCAGCAGGCCAGCCCTGTGCTCTTGAACTGAGAGTGAATAAACCTCTCTTCCTTACAAGTAACCTAGTCTGTGGTTTTCAGTTATAGCAACCAAACAGCCCGGGAGGGCAGCGGGGCCACAGGTGTTCTGTGGCTCTCTCCTTCAGCAAGGATCTACACTGTGGGGCTGAGGAGTGAGCTCCAGTTTGGGTGTCGTGTCCTCCAGGGAAGTGTCCCAGACTAACCTACAGGCTTTTCTTGGGTGCAACCCAGAGTCCTGGGGTCATCTTGCCTGCCTGTCACATGGGTGCTTTTACGGTGATATTTCATATCTGACTCCCTGCCCCTGGCCCTGGCCTGCACAGAGAGGACCCCCTGTCTGATGAGTCAGATTGAAGGGCCCTGGCCCATTCCACGTGCAAGACAGGAAAGCTCCTTTCTGGGCAGAACAACTCAGAACTAACTTCCAGGGGGTGGTGGCAGTAGGGTTGGGCCTTTAAAGACTTCTCTCAGGGAAGGTGAGGAGGGGGTCCCTTGCAGGGATTGGGGAGGGGGAGTGGCCTCTGCTTCCTGTGGGGAGGTAGTGGGGGATAGGACAGGAAATGTCAGCTGGGGTTTAGATGATGTAGCAAACTAACTTTTCTATAGAATGTTCCAGCAGACTTCTGAGGTTCCCTGAGGTGCAGAGTGCCAGCCTGGCCTCAGTGAGGGCCTGTGTCCCTGCCCTTAAAGGGGATCCCTGAAGTAGCCAAGGGGCCCCCTGGACCAGAGGTCAGAATGGAGTGTGTCCAGCTGACCCCGTCCCCTCTGCACTCTGGGCCTCCAAAGAAGCTTTGAGCTTGGAGGAGAAAGAACTGGTTGGCACTGTCCCCTGTTTTCGGGTTTCAGTGGTCACTGTGTCACAGTGGCTGGGAGGCTGGCTTTCTGGGGAGGTGACGTCATAGCAGGAGCCAGCCCGGCACAGGGGTCTTCGTTCCTGAAGAGGCCTCCAGGTGGGAGGGTCCGTCAGGCAGGGCGGGGGCTGGAGTCCTGAGGCTCCAGGGACAAAGCTCTCCCTGCACCCAAGAGCCATGAGCACTGCTGAGGTGGCCAGCTGCAGTGGCCCCTTCAGTGTGGGACTGGGGTGGCAAGGGTTTGCTGCACAAGGTCTGGAAAGTTCTAGGGGAATACGACACGGAGCAGATTCTGGAGGACCATCTCCTGAATGAAGCTGCCACCTCAGCTACTGTGGTGAATCCCTGAGACCATCAGTGTGACGCTCCTGAGCCTTGGCCTCGTGACACCTGTGTTCCTCCTTAGCTCTGACTTCTGAGGGCTGGGCCTGGTCTGGGATCTGTAGAACAGTGGTTCTCAAAGTGCAGTCCAGGAGCCCTTGGGGTACCCGCGATCCTCCCAGGGGTCTGCAAGTTCAGACTGTTTTATGGTCGTACTGAGATACCACCAGCCTTTATCACTGTCACCCTTTCACAGGTCTACAGTGGCGTCTCCCAGAGGCTGCGTGACGCCGGCAGACACAAGAATCCAGTTGTCTCCAATTAAATGATGAAAGATTCATGAAAATGTAAAATGACGTTTCTCCTGACTACAGTCACTTTGTTTGGGGGAATATGTAACTCCTCGTCATGAAAACACGGCATGTCAGTGCAGTAAGCTGGTCATCGCCACTCACTCAGTTCTGTCATGGTTACTTAATGGTGCCCGGGATGGGACCCAGGGCCTCCTGCGTGCTGGGCCACTGCTCTACCACCCAGCGGCCTCCCTGGCGCTTTTCATGTTTTACTTTGGGACAGAGTCTCACTGAGTTGCCCAGGCTGGCCTCAAACTTGTGACCCTCCTGCCTCAGCCTCCCAGATAGCCGGGATTACAGGCGAGTGCCACCGTGCTTTACTGTTATTACTGTTGATAAGCAAATAAGTAAATATGGGAAATAGGAGCAAATGTGTAAATGTTAGAACATTTTTCTCATTTTTAATCGGTAACAGTAAATGTGATAAATACAGCTGATAAACGAGGGCTCCCTGGCTTCCTCAGTAATTCTTCAAGACTACAGGGGCCCGAGGACCGCTGCCTGTGGTGGGGCTCGTACCTTGTGGCGCAGGTGCCCCGACCCCTCATTCTCGTGCCCACGGCAGACATGACTCGTCGGTCACATTGTCCTGCCTGCTGCTTCCCCACCGGGGAATGTCTGGCATGACGCTGACCGGGGGCTCCTCCCCGCACCTACCTTTTCAAGATAATGAGGATATTCATGGTCCAGGGGAGCAGGAGGAGGGCCTGGTTGAGCTGCACCGCTTCCACCGTCCTCCGCGCCACCGTCTCTGGCTTCAACGGGGGAAAGAGATGGGGAAACCTGGGGCAGGAAGAGACACAGCGGGTTTCTCTCGAGGAAGCGCGTGCTCCTGGGAAGCCTGGGTGGCTGACGTGGGGGGTGTCCCTTGGCTTTTTCCGTGTGAGACTTGAGACTGGGGGTGTTCGCAGCTCAGACTTGTCGGGGCTCCATGTTCCCTCACTCCAGCCTCCAGCACCCGAGCGAGGGGCCCCAGGTTGCAGGGGGCGCCCTTGGGGACCAGGACTTCTAGCCCACCTGGGTTCGCCCAGCTCTGCACAGCCTGGCCCTGCCCAGTGTCCTGTGTCTGCTCTGCCCCAGCAGGACTGTTCCTGCCACCTACGCTCCAACCTTTGCCAGCTGTCCTCTCCCTGCCCCTCTGGGAGACCTCTTGTCCCCATAGCCCCCCAAATGGCCTCCGATCTTGTCCGCCTGCTCATTCCTTCACCACATTGAGCGCATCTAGAATGGCCTTGTTTCCTTGCCAATGGCCCGTCTCCCCCAACAGACTTTGAGTTCCGTGAGGGCAGAGGCCTGATCAGTCTTGCTCCCTGTTGTAGCCTCAGCATCTAACAGTGTCCGGCATGTAGTAGGTGCTCAGTAGATACTTGCTGAGCAAGTAGCCCTTCCCTAGGTGTCCTCATGCTGTCTGGAGGCGGGGCATGTGCCGGAGATGGGCCTGTGCCGGAGATGCCCACTGCCCAGCCAGCTGGTTCTCTAACTCATTCAGACATTGCAGAGCGTGTTCCGTGAAACTGCTCAGCGAATGAATAATGGATTGAGCAAACACAGGGGCTTCTCGTGCCTGTTCAGAGCCCTCTGACTGTAGACGCCCGCAGCAGTGATGTCCCCGTGTGCTCACACCATCCTCTGCAGTTGATAGACAGGGAAACCCAGGCTCTGGGGGGCAAGCAGGACCGACCAGGCCTGCAGGAGTTCGAGGTCATGCTCTCGCCCCTCTGCTCGGTGCTCCTCCCACCTTCCTGCTGCTGGCTCCGACGCCAGTCCCACCAAGGGCGTGGGGTCTGCCCTGCACCACAAGACTGAGGGCACCGAGTCACTAGGTCTGGTGTCATTCCTGAGCACAGGCAGCTCCTGGGCTCCACAGATCTCACCCCTGCCCTGTGCTTTCTTTGCTGTCCTGGGTGCCTCTAAGAGGCCCTCAGCCACACTGTCCCAAAGCGCTGGCCTCTGGTTCTGCAGAGATGAGCTTGTTGAGGCAGCTCACTGGTGTGGAACCCGTCAGATGTGAGGCCGGTAGGCTCTCCGGCCTCTACCTGTGCCCAGTCCTGCTTCTCGGGGAAGAGAAGGCAGAATGGACGGAAGGAGCTCCCTGGGCTCGGGGGGCTTCCTGGAAAGACCCTCAGGAGAACCCGACAGAGGAGCTCTGCTGTCTGCTGGTGGGACCTTCTCCTTTGTCTCCGTGGTGGGCGGGAAGGGTACACGGGGAACTGGCAACTCCCGGAGGCAGCACAGACTCTCAGAAAAACCACATTCAGCTAGCCAGTTTCTCCTGGGTGGCCTCGGGCAAGTAACTGCCTTCCAAGCCTCAGTTTCCTCCCCTGTGACATGGGGATAAGAGCCCTCTAGCAGGTTGCCATGTGCGCCAAACCCGAGAAGTAGGTGTACTACGATTAATCCCTTTTCATAAACGAGGAGATGGAGGCACAGAAAAGTCAAGTAACTTGCCCAAGGTCACAGAGTTGAGATGCGACCAGGCCATTTGGGTCTGCATTCTGAACCTCTAAGAAACAATGACTTGGGTAAACTTTGAATTTCTTACGTGGTGGAGAGGACAGACGCCAGTAGGTAAAATACACCCATGTATGACTGCCAGTGTCCCTCCCCTTCTGTGTTGAGGGTGCCCAATTAAAACTGTAATCACCACTGATGTACTTCTGTCCAACGGGCATTGATTGAGCACCTCTTGTATACACAGATGAAACGAAATCAAACCAAGTCCTCAAGGGAGAAGTAATCGATCTTGGGATATTAATAGTCATGGACACTATAATCAGGGCTACATGATCAGGACACTATAATCAGTATAATCAGAACTTACACTTTCCTTCAAAACCAGAGGGAAAAGTTGGTATGTCAGGAAAATTCAAAACAAATGCACTTTTTTTGTGTGTGGGGGGGAACTGGGGATTGAACCCAGGGCCACTTAACCGCTAAGCCACATCCCCAGCCCTTTTGATTTTTTATTTGGAGACAGGGTCTCACTAAGTTGCTGAGGCTGGCTTCAAACCTGCAATCCTCTTGCCTCAGCCTCCTGGGTCATACCACATCCAGCTAACAGGCACTTTTGCAGGTTGTTTATTGTTAGTAAAAATAACACGGGCAGTAGCTCTTTATCAAGCCTCTAATAAGTCCTGCCCTTTGCACTGGATGAATTACATGTATTGTTTTTAATTCTTCAATGACCCTATGAGTTACATATCATTTCCACTATTTTACAGATGAGCAAAGTAAAGCTCAGAGACAATAAAACTAGCACCAAGTTTCACAACTGCAGAGTAGCTGAAGTGTGATTCAAAACCAGGTATTTTTAATTTAATTTATGTTATTATATACTGGAGATTGAACCTAGGGGTGCTCTACCATTAAGCCACACCCCCAGCCCTTTTATTTTTTTATTTGGAGACAGGGTTCATTAAGTTTCTGTGGCTGGCCTTGAATGTACGATCCTCCTGCTTCAGCCTGAGTCACTGGGATTGCCGGCGTGTGCAGATATTTTTGCTTCTTGATCACCAACACTACACTTTTGTTCACAGGTAAGATGTGCTGAGTGATTCTTGCATGGCGTGCACCAGCCCAGGGACTCACACACGCTAGGCAAGTGCTCTACCAGTGAGCTACACCCTGACCCTCATCCTCAGCTCTGAAAGAAGGTGAAGCATATAATTTAGAACACAGATCATCATGTGAATAGCAAAAAAAAAAAAAAAAAAAAAAAGTCTTTGGATGATTTTCATTTATCTGTGACCTTACACATCTCTATACCCCTACAGTGCCATTTACCGAGGACTCACCTGGCACGCATGCTGTTCCATATCACACCATGTTATTCTCCCTGTAGAACCTATGAGGTCCTATTTTGCAGATGAGCAGTGAAGGCCAGGCAGGAACTAGTCAGGCCCATTGTCACACAGACACCACAGCTGCAGGGCAGCCACCACCCTGGGTGCCTGGCTCCTGAGCCCCAAATATTGGCCCCACTGCCCCTGTGGGGCCTCTGCATTCCTTGATATCGATCTATAATCTACAAACAGGGAAAGGTGTGCACCTTAAGCACACAACTTGGTTAACCTCACTAGTTCAGATTGCAAAGAAGGAACTTCTAAAACCCTCTGTCTTCCCTGCCTCCTCCGGGGTAGTTACGGGTCTGCTTTCCGGCACTGCGGCTCAGTGTACTCCATTCTAGAACTTCACACAAACACAATCATGCGGGGTGTCCCCTTTTGGCTTCCTTGCTCAGCTCAAGGGACGTACCATGCTACATGCCTGTCAGCCCTGCTCTCTTTACCGTTGGCCTCATTCCACTGCGTGCCTTTGGCCTGGGCTGTGTACAAGCCCCAAGCTGAGCAGCAGGACCCTAACCTGCTGGAGCATCCTACCCCCCACTGATGGAGAACCCGTGAGCCCAGCCTGGCAGAGGAGCGGCTTCTGGGGACCCTGCAGCGCCCTCTCCCTGTGCAGACGCTGGCTGGCCCAGCTCGGCGAGGAGGCCGGTCCCCTGCCCACTGACCTGACCCTCATGCCCTGGAACATCTCAGTGCTGGTGTGGAAGGGCAGTACGGTGGTGGCGCTGACGCCCGGACAGTCCAGCAGTCCCAGGGTCAGGCTCTCCATAAAGGCGAAGGCGGACGCTTTGGACGTGCAGTAGTCGATGGCGCCGGGGATGGCAGACAGTGCCAGCACGGAGTTGAGGCACACGATGTGGCCGTTCTGCAACTCCAGCATGCGCGGCAGGAAGGCCTTGGTGGTCTGCGGGCAGACGGGGTCGGTGTGAAGCAGCCGCTGTTTCCACCAGCCCTCCTGCCCTGGCCCGGGACACCTGCCCACCCGGGACCACGCTACTCCAGCGGCCCAGCCCTCCTGCAGGGGAAGGGGCTAGAGGCACCCTGCTGCGGGACACTGAGGTCACAGATCAGAAAGTCTAGTGGCTTCTGGGGCTGGACATTCCTCTTGGTCCCGCTTTGTCCTTGGATATCCTGCTGGCCCAAGTCCTGGTCCTGGTGAGCCTATTGCCACCCCAGCTGGCCAGGCTCCCTGTCATGCCCAGGGCTGGCTCTCGGCCAGGACAGCTCTTACCCAGAACTGGCCCAAGGTGTTGATGTGCTGGGACTTGAGGAGGGCGTCATCGTCGCTGTCCATCAAGCTCTTCCCGTGGACCACAGCGGCGTTGTTGACCAGAATGGTGATGTCACCCACCTGCGGGTGGGAGGGGACACAGGGCTGTGAGGGCACAGACCAGACCCCCCACCACATGCGTGCAGCCTTGGGAAGCCACACCACCTCTCTGGCATCAGTCTTGTTGAGAAGATGGCATTAGCACCAGACCAGCTGTGTGCTGAGGGTTAGAAATGACTTATGGCACGCACCCTTCCTGGGACCCATCACATCTATAATAAATGAGGTTATTGGTACGTAAAGAGAGTTACCATTGCCACATGCCGGACACCCAACAGGGTGGTTTTTTCCTCTCTTGGAGTAAACTGATACACTAGATGACTGAAGGCAGGAGAAGGATTTTCCCAGGAGGCAGTGGGGCATTGGGCTCTCAGAGTCTTGGAGAGAAACCCACAGGTTTAAATTTCCAAGGGGACCACAGGTGACTATAGCTATGGTGCAATCATCCCCAATCCCTGCCTGTGCAACTTGGACCAGCTCCTCAGGAAAGTCCCCTAAAGTGCCCTGGACAAAGCCACTCTGCCAGGCCACGCAAGCACATCCCCTTTTCCTGGCATTACCCTGCGTTCAGCTGCTCTGAGGACAGGCCCTCCCAAGCCACTGACCTTCTCCCGGACAGCTTTGGCCGTCTGGTATACCTCCTCCCGGTTGCCCACGTCACAGATGAAGTAGTGGCACTCTGTGCCCATCTGCCGGATCTCCTCCGTCGTCTCCTTCAGACATTTCTCAGTCCGGCCCCATAGAACAATCTAGAAGAAGAGAATAAGGTGGTCATGGAACAAGCAATTATTACCATCAGAAGTCCAGTGAAATAACTTGTCTTTAAATTTCCCTCCCTGACTTCACCCCAAAATAAAGTATACAAAGCAAATTAACAATATGAATTTTTAAAAGGGAAATTAGCCTATTCTTAAGTGAACCAGTAGTTCCCGAGCTTATTTATTTATTTGGTACTGGGGATTGAACTCAGGGGGACTCGACCACTGAGCCACATCCCCGCCCTCTTTTGTATTTTATTTAGAGACAGGGTCTCACTGAGTTGCTTAGCGCCTTGCTTTTGCTGAGGCTGGATTTGAACTCGAAATCCTCCTGCCTCAGCCTCCCAAGCCTGGGATTACAGGCGTGTGTCACCGGGCCTGGCTCTGAGCCCATTTATGACCAATTGATGGATTACTTATCTTTCTAATATACTCCTTCTAGCAGGATGCCTCCTGCCAGCCCAGTGCTGACTATCTCAGAAGCAAGAGCACAGTTTTTCTATTCAATATTTCAGAATGTTCTTCCAAATCAGCTTCTCACCAGTTAGTCTAGGGCTAGGATGGATGGGGAGGCTTGGCCTCAGGGCTGCAGAGGCTGAGGGGGCCTGCCACCCTGCTGCGGGAGGGCGGGAGAGGGGCAGCCAGGTTCCAGTTGAGATGAACTGCTGCCTCACCTGGCAGGTAATGAGCCGCTCACCTCACCAGGAGTCCGCCCCGCAGGACTGAACAGCGGTAATTCAAGGGTTGGGGCAAGTTTATGAATGGCTGGCCCATAAGGGCTCAGAGGAGAAGCTTGGCTTGTTCTCACCCTCGACCTGAGGTAGGGTAGCACATCTTTCCCCATGAGAGCCCAGGGTTAGAGGACGGGGAGACTAACTGCCCTAACTAAGAGTCAACTCTGTTGGCACAGAGGGCGGGAGGCCCGGGACCCACAAGCTCAGGATAGAACCAGGAAAAGCAAGAGCAGGAAGCTGCTTCTAGGGAATCAGTCCGATGGGTTCCTATTTTCTTTCCTTTTTTAAAATTATCAGTGAACTTCTCTACACAAAAATAAAACCCAGTATGGAAACCCCGATGTGTGAAACCAAGAGAAATAAGTGGTGTGTCCAACTCATAATATTTTCTTACTCTAAAGACGACTAAGGAGAACAAAATGGCTTATGTGGGAAGACAAGCCTTCCAAACCGGGGCTTATAGACGGTGGCTGCAGTCACAATGGACCAGAACCCGACCCATCTCTCTTTTATATTGTTGCCGGTTGTAGTGGAAAGCCGAGTGGACAGAGCGGCGAATGACCACAGTTTGTTAACTGCCTATCTTAAAACCTCAGAACTTTCATTTAGAAAGAGAATGAGCCAGGTGGGGTGAGCGGGGGCTGGTACACTCGAGGATTCTGGTGCATTGATTTTTTTTTTTTTAATTAGAATTTTTTAAACTTTTAAAGTATTTTAAAAAAGGAAATAATAGTGTTCTCTCAACCTCTAAAACAGCTCTGGGAAAGCCCAGTTTGAAAGCCCCACTCAGTCCAACCACTTTATTTCTTTTAATTGAAGTCCTGAAATACAGAAACGGTTTTACAAGGGAGAAGCCTGTTGGCTGTCTCCAGGACCCCAGAAGTCCATCAAGGGCAAAGAGGCTGCAATTAGAGAGACTCCAAGGGACACTTTACTAAAAACAGCCTTGGAATGTGTTCCTCCAGGAGAGGCTGGGAGGTTTAGACCATGGAGAAGAAAAAGACAAACATTTGTTCTAAGGATGTGATTTGGCATCGACATCCTTCACCCCACCAGACCCCCGCATCCCTGTCTTCCAGGGTTCCTTCCATCCTCCCTCATCACCCACCTACCACCCATTAGCTCATCCATCCACCCATCCATCTACACACCCATCCATCTATCCACCCATCCATCGATCCACTTATCTGTGTATCTGTCCATCCATCCATCTACCCACCCAGTTCTGAGTATATCAGCCTGGGATGAAGACAACCCTTGGCTTCCTTCCTCCTGCTCCATTGTCTCTGTCTCCCATGGGTGATGGGACCACTGGGCTTACACAGATCCCTAAGGTATGGCTGAGGCAGAAAGGTACCTCTGGGGACCCTAAGAATTTCTGGGCAAGTCAACAGAAGGAAAGCTTAGAGCTGGGGAGCTTGCTGGAAGGTACAGGGGTCTAGATGCCTACATAGACAAGTGATGACCTCGGGGTATCTGAAGCAGTGGCCCAGATGGGTGCCTGTCACTCTGGAACCCTTTCAGCACAAACGGGTGTGCAGGGGTTCCCATCAGAAGGTCCCTGAGGGCTCCACCCCAGAAGCATGAAGCTGGGCAAGGTGAGGAGGGCAGGGGTCTGTGGTCTGGGAACCGGGGAGCCCAGCACTGTCCACCTGGGGAGGAGACAGGGCAGGGGCAAGGGACGAAATGAAGGTCGTGCCCTGCTGTCTTTCAATGGCAGCAAGGACAACAGTCAGGCCCCTGAGGCTTGGTGGCTCCCTCTGAGGGGCTGCTGAGACAGAGGTTGCCCCTGTGGGCCCGGAGCCCCGAAGAACTCAGTGCTGTCTTACTCATTTTATGTCCCCGCGTCCAGGTTGGCATGTGCTGTCTGCTGAATGAACTAATGAAAGTTAAGTGCCAAAGGTGGGACCACCTCCCAGGCCGAGAGACCATGCATCCTCCTCCGCGGAGCCATCAGGGTCCCCCGCAATCTTCAGCACAGGGGTCTGAGCGAGGGAGGACAGGGGTTTCCCTCCCCAGAACAGCCACCGCGGAGCTGGGCTGCCTGGGGAGGGCGGCTAGTGCGAGCCTCGCCATGTTCCCGCGCAAGCCTCGCATGTGCTCGGTGCTGTGCGTCCGGGGCATGCGCAGCCTTGCGCCGGGTTCCCCAGGTCCTCTGGTGGACGCGCAAGGTCCTGGGGTGGGCGGGCACTGTTAGTCTGTTTGTCTTAGGGGCCAGCGGCGCCTCCGTGGACGGGTGGTGTCACCTGGACTGGGTGCTAGGGAGAGCCCAGGGGACGGCAATGAGACCCCTCCCGGGTGGAGCTTCTCCGGCTCCTCTGGTCCCTGCCTGGACCCCCTCTGGGGTTCTGTCACCAGAAGCCGGCAGCTATACCTGCAGGCCTGCCCAGGTGCCCTGCCAGAGACCCCTGGGGGTGACCCGACCGCGGATAGCACAAGCGACCCTCCTAGTGCCAGGACAGGGTGGCCGGGCGGAGGCGGGTGGGAGGGGCCGCGAGGGGCGGGCTCCCGGTGCGGGAAGCCGGTTGGTTGGCCTCCGTTAATGAACTCGCAGGACGAGGGAGCGGCGGGTCAAGGTCAGCGCCGGGTGTACTCATCAACAGGGATTATAGAATCCGGGCTCTGGAGGCTCGGCACCTCGGCCTCCCTTCCCCGGGCAGAGGGCGGCCTCCCTTCCCTGGGCAGAGGGCGAGCTTCGGGCCCCCTGCTCCTCCTGGGCTGGAGCGCAGCTCGGGAGAGGCCAGGCTGCCCTCTCCCTGCGCGGCTGCCTTCTCTGCTGGCCCAGCGCGGCCCTCGGGGCTCCATCCAGAGTTGTCATTGCCCACTTTTCACGGTACTGAGGTCACCCGCCTCAAGTCACACTCTGCGCGGTGGGGACAGGAATCGAACCAGAACCTTCCCCCCCGCAGATGCGCCAAGCCCCAGCAGGGCAGGAGTCTGAGTTTTAAAGATTCTGCTCCCAAATCCCAGGTGTCCAGCACTCAGCCTTCACTCCCACCCGGAAGGTCCTTCTCATGCCATGTCACTCAGTGTCCATCGCAACCACCCTGTGCACCCACCTGCCAGGACCACAGAGAGCCCAGGGTGGGATGGAATGGGCATGGAACCCAGTTCTGAGACCCAACAAAGAATTGTTCCTGCCGCAGGGAGACCCTGTTCCAGTGGGCAAGGCAGAAGGAACAGGAAACCCTGGGCCACGAACGAGGGCAAGTGGGATAGAGAAGAAAAAAGGGAACCTCATTTAAATTGGGCATTTAGGACACAGCCATAATATATCCATCTCAGAGAGGCTGAGCATCTTGTCTGAGACCACACAGACAAATGAGTGACAGGGCTGGGATGTTAACTGAGGTTTTGTCAGGCAGCCGGACAGCAGCTCCATTCACTCTCCTGGTGGGAGAAAACTCATCTCCTTTCTCTAAAGGGACTCAGCGCACAGGGCTGGCACCCACTGGCATGCGGTACATTCTCTGCTGGGATTTCCCACAAGGAGAAAAGGCTGAGAAAATCATAGCACCAGCCCTCAGTGACCCTCTCCTCTCGCTGGTCAAAGGATGAGTGTCTCACGGCATGGAAGGATGCTCAGGGACTTAATGATCAGAAAAGGGGCCAAGCATTAGGCACCTGGGATAACCTCAGCCCCCAAAACTACCAGGCGAAGGGGCTGCGTAGAGGAGCCTCAGGGCGGAAGACTGGCTGCACGTGCTTCTTTATGTTTGTCTGTATAAGAGAGAAAGCCTCTAAAGAACTCAGTTATTTATGCTCTTAACAATGGAAGGTGTAGTAAAGCTTCCCATAGATCTTTTCCAAAATAGTTATGCACACACAGGTAACTCAGCGCTGTGGGGTCAACCCCTACTTGTCCCTCAGTCCCCTACCAGTGTCTCCCATCCACTGTGAGGTAACTGTTTGCAATTCTCTTCCTGTTTTTTTTTCTTCCTGTTTTAAATGCCAAGTCTACTCATGGACTCCTATTCATCCTGCAGAACCCTGCCTAAATATCCCTCAGTTCCAGAACCTCCCTGGCTGCTCCTTCTGTTCCCCCTACAACACCACCACACAGTGTCCAACATCTTTTAAGCACTGGCCCTGGGCCAGGCACTGTGCAGAGGACACGGATTGGTTTCTACATTAACCCTCACTACCCTGTGGGTGGGTATCCCCCCTCTTTTTTTAAGGTGAGCCTCAGACAGATGAAGTGACCTGCCCAGAGTCCTGCAGTTCCTAAAGCAGAACTCCTGGTTCTCACTGCAGAGG